GGGACTTACACACATGGTCGATATGTACATTGTACTGTAGAGAGTTATCTAAATATACTCCAAGAATCTTCTCATGTGTTACGTTGTCTAGCTTCTGATTTGATATGTATAAAGAAAAATCATGCTCTGAGAATTTTGATCTCTTCTGATGTGTGCCTATTAACATGCATTTAGTTTTTGAAGCATTAAGTACCATTTGATTCTGAGAGCACCATTTTTCTATACAAGCGATGTCCATTGATAATGCATTTACAATAGATTGGGAATCTTTGCCGGGGACATGTAGAGTGGCATCATCTGCAAACAAATCTATGTTTGAATTTTTAATATTAAGTGGAAGATCGTTAATGTAAAGTAAAAACAGAAGAGGCCCTAGTATAGATCCCTGTGGAACTCCCGCTGTGACTTGCTGATAAGATGATTGTTTGTTAGACAGATGGACACTTTGAAGTCTGTCACTTAAATATGATCGAAACCACTGTAAAGTTAATTTATTAAAATTATAACACTGTAGCTTTTTAAGAAGAATTTCATGATTTACTAGGTCAAATGCCTTACTGAAGTCAAGAAAGACAGTACCAACAAGTTTGCCTTGATCCATTTCATATAACCATTCATCTGTAATTTTTGTTAGGGCTGTTTGACATGAGTGCAGTTCTCTGAAACCTGATTGAGATTCTATTAGAAGATCAAAGTCTGAAAATAGAGATCGGATATATTTTGCCACATGTTTTTCTATAATTTTTGATAATGTCGGTAAAATAGAAATGGGTCTGTAGTTATTTGGATCCAGTTTGTTTCCCTTCTTAAAAACTGGTGTAACTTTGGCAAGTTTAAAACTCTTAGGAAAAATACCAGTTGTAATACTAGTATTTATTATGTGGGTCACAGGTTTATGTATTATTTGTGCAGTAAGTTTTAATAGACGTGGACCAATGGTATCTACACCTGATGATTTACTAACGTCTAGCTTATTAAGTAAGTAAAGCACTTCATCGGGACTTATAAGTGGGATATCAACTATTTCTGTACCCATTTTAGATTGTACAAAATTCAAAAGGCCGTTAATGTCACACTCCTCTTTATTTACACCTTCAAGAAGTTTAGTAGAGATATTTGAAAAATTTGAAAAGCTCTTGATATGCATGCACGACGTGCATGTGTACATTGGTTAGCAATTAGGAGTGTATGTGTGTGTGTCTGGCGAGGAGAAGCGGGGGGTAAGGGGTTACTTCGTATGTTGATCATTGTATTTTTATGCGCATGCAGAAATCTAGAAACTATCCATTTTATTATTGAAGAGAGAGAGAGAAAAAATTATTTTTGCTGGTCTGCAATGCACATGGTTTGTAAAACAGTATGAAATCTTAATAGTCAAGAAACCCCATTCCCGCTATATTTACACCTGCCAGTGAAAATAGATTTCTTTTCTAAATATCATGCACGTGCCTATCAAAAGTAAAGCAAACTGATACACTTGATCAACGAAATAACCCCCCCCCCCACACACACACACCCTAACGTGCGCACGCACGTTACTAATTTGCAACACCAATGATTTGAATATCAACTGATTTTAAATGGCTTATGAAATCAATATATGATGAAATCAGATCTAATGTAAGAATTAGCATATATTTATTTTTCCTTTTGTTTCAAGTTATTTTCTTTCCGTTTATTTTCTTCATCCACTACTCAATTGAAAATTATTCTCAGCCTCACTGACCAAAAAGTGTGATATTACATTTTGTGTTGTTGCATTTTGCTTAATCTCGACGCAAAATGTAACAACGCAAAATTTAATAATCCAAAAATCGTGTTATTACATTTTGCGTTATTACATTTTGCGTTGACCTCTACGCAAAATGTAATCACCCTAAAAAATCTGTTATTACATTTTGTGTTATTTCATTCTGCGTTGATATTGACGCAAAATGCAATAATCCGGGTTTATTACATTTTGCGTTGTTATTACATTTCGTGTTGTCACAGTGCGTTATTTAAGCATGACCCCACCACATGGACGTCTTAATGCGAATTTTAAAAGCTAAGATTCCAAGGCCATATAGGGCTGTTTGTGATCGTTGAAAAGTAAATAAAGTACAGGAATACAAGTAAAATATGGTTAATTAAATAATACTATCCTTTAAGGAAACGCATATAATACAAGAAATTATACCCCGAAACGAGCGACAAAGAAGCGTTATAGCAACCGCGCTAATGATAAAACGGCGCCTAATGATAGAAATATCATTAAGCGTTGCACTGCAACGCTTAATGTCATAAATTATTGCACTAATAGTCGACATTCTCAACCGCTTGATGATATAATTCTTTCATTAAGCGGCGATTAGGCATTAGCGGTTGAGAATGTCAACTATTAATGCAATATAATTTTTGGCATTATGCGTTGCAATTGCAACGCTTAATGATATTTCTATCATTAAGCGGCGTTTTATCATTAGCGGTTACTATAGAGCATCGCCGTATATCGAAGGTTTTTACAATACTTGGATCTGTAGCTCTCTGGTTTGTCTTTCCGAATTTTTTCAACCAAAGAGCTACAGTTCTGCAGCTAAGTTTCTGTTTGGATGATTTGAGATAGAATAAGAATTTTACAATTCTCAATGCATTTTCTATATTGATAAAAAGGACCTACATAATTTTTCACCCTGAGATTTCTCCAAAACCTATTAATTTTACAATGATTATGTATTATATACATTATTGTATCCTCAATTCCTATGATATCTAGAATTTTGGCTGAAAATGAAAATATAGAAACAATACAGATATACTAACACCGCAGTCTGATTAAAACCAGCCCCCCTTCTCCTTTCACTCGTCTGATTAAAACATGCCCCCCTTCTCCTTTGAAGGGGGGGGGGGGGCTGGTTTTAATCAGACTGCTAACACCGGTACCGTTCTTTATTTCTGAGTTACTCCCCTTAGCATTTAATTATTTTTCATAATTTGGTTTAAAAAACTGGCTGATTGTTTCTATTATGTAATTTATAAACTGACTTTAAAAAAATGTCATAGATTTGTTTTTGTTTTTTGTTCGTATTTACTAAAATGGTGATTCCTTCACACGACCCAGGAACTGTTCTCTGTTGATTCTACCCGTTGAAGGAAGCACACGTGCTTTTGTTTACCTGTGTAACATACGCTTTATTGGTTTGAACTCTACACGGGAGATCACTCACAATCAGTTTTATAAGTGAAAAAAACTCATAAATTAAACCTTTTTTCTAAGGATAACCGTGACTTGCAAATGTAAAGTGGGACTTTGCTCCATGTTTTGGTTAACCAAAAAGTGTACATTTTTACGCAAACTTCAAGGATAAACTTTCAGAACTATGAAGCGAAGAACTAACACCGCAGTCTGATTAAAACATGCCCCCCTTCTCCTTTGAAGGGGGGCTGGTTTTAATCAGACTGCTAACACCGGTACCGTTCTTTATTTCTGAGTTACTCCCCTTAGCATTTAATTATTTTTCATAATTTGGTTTAAAAAACTGGCTGATTGTTTCTATTATGTAATTTATAAACTGACTTTAAAAAAATGTCATAGATTTGTTTTTTTGTTCGTATTTACTAAAATGGTGATTCCTTCACACGACCCAGGAACTGTTCTCTGTTGATTCTACCCGTTGAAGGAAGCACACGTGCTTTTGTTTACCTGTGTAACATACGCTTTATCGGTTTGAACTCTACACGGGAGATCACTCACAATCAGTTTTATAAGTGAAAAAACTCATAAATTAAACCTTTTTTCTCAGGATAACCGTGACTTGCCAATGTACAGTGGGTCTTTGCTCCATGTTTTGGTTAACCAAAAAGTGTACATTTTTACGCAAACTTCAAGGATAAACTTTCAAAACTATGAAGCGAAGACCTACTCATGGGGCCTATTGAAAAATTGTGTTATAGTATGAGAAAATGATACTTTTTTGCCATCTTTGCTGTGTGTATGCTATTTCACAGGCAAATAATTTCAATCTTATTGAGATTGTTGCAAATTACTGTAAGATGGGTGAACATGACGAGCGAAAAGTCTATAGTGTGACAAACATGACGGTGAAAAAATTAAATTTCAATTATACCAATTTGCAAAAATCTCACAAAGATTGAAATTATTTGCTCATAAAATATAGTACACACACTAAAGAGGGCAAAAAGAGTCATTTTCTCATACTATATCACTTTCTTCGATATGAGTGGGTCTTCGCTCCATTTTTTCATTTTAAAGTTAATCCTCGAAGTTTGCATAAAAATATATATTTTTTGGTTTCCAAAAATATGGAGCAAAGACCCACTATACCTTAAAAATATACTTTTATGACATAACATTTGCATCTTTTCGAGAAATACTTGAAGTCCATTAAGTCAAGGGTCATATCACAAACATGATTTAAATACCACTGTCCAACAGGACTTGTGTAGTCTAGTGGTAAGCGTGTTAGTCAAAAAAAAAAAAAAAGAAAAAAAAGAAAAGAAATGATACTCAGGATTTTTATTGCTAAGGTTCGAACCCCACGAATACCACATTACTGTTTCAATAAAAGAATTAATTTTGCAGAGAAAATTTTCCTCAGAAACGTTTTGTTTATCATAATTTCATAAATTTCAATAATGAGAACTTTACTCTAAATACTAAATTCACAAATTGAACATGATTTTTATATGTAAGAAGCTATAGGCTTTCTGCACGCTATGTTCGCCCATCTCCTTTTAGATGAAATGTCACAGAAAATATTGTTATATTTCACCATGTTTGTCGCACTATAGGCAGTTTGCTCGCCTTGTTCGCATATCTTCTTTGTGCTTTTGATCAAAATTTGCTTTCACACAGCTTCCTCCATGGTTAAAAATTCAGATATGGAGAACCCTGAACCCCCTCAGCTTCTTTGTTTATTGTACCAGAGACAAATATCGATTATTTAGTATGTCTATTTCTAAAAGATCTACAAATTGAGAAAAGAACAATTAACACAACCTGGTCTTGTAAAAAAATTTATTTTATATATTAAAAAAAATGATGAGTGGTGATAGAATGATTCCGATTTGATTTATAGATATGATGCATTAACAACCTTATTCTAGAAAAATAAATTTCTAAAAGTACATTTCCATGGTAACACTGACTAACGAATCGCTGCAGTATGGTACAATGATTAACTGTGCTTTTATGCACTAAAGTACATGGCAAACAATCACTTGTCAAATATTGGATGATAAAATGGGCTGAAAATAGAAGTCCCACAACTCTATATAATTATGTAGGACTATACCATGTACACCAACACTTTACTTTAATCATGTTAATGCCCAAAGTCTGTGATCAATATGTAGGGTGGATAAGATTCATGTAATGGCCATGTAGTTGAATTTGCTCATGCTTTGCACAACTACTTTTATATTGCTGTATTCCTAGGCTTCAAATAGGCCACTAAGTGGAATGCCTTTCACACCTTTTATTTAGTGAAGAAGAAATGAAGCTAGGCAATTAAGTGCATAGAGTGCGATGGAAATATCTTGTGAAATGCTAATATTGTAAATCATGTTAAAAGTGTAAATGATATCTGTATCTACAATAACCTCATGACCATGTACAAAAATCTGGAATAGCTGACCCAAAAAATAACATTAATCAGCTAAAAATACAATACATTATAAACATGGGTATATATGATAAAACTCTTTGGAAAAAATTCACTAGCCAGTCTATGAATTATGTATATTTGAGAAATGCTTATTTTAAAAGGGAATGTTGTTCTATAATAAATAATATGTCTGATACATCTGAAGCAACAGTAATATCGGGTGGCCTACATATCACCAATGGCTGACTACTACTGGAATAATGTCCTAGCAGCTTATCGCTTACATATAGTACTGCTATACATTCACAGGCACAACAAAAGAGTCGTTCATCAAAAGACATAATCAACAGTATCTCACTTCTTGGTGCACAACTCGAGTCCATGGTAACGAGTTTGTGGACATGAGACATGTGAGCATTGATAAATGCTTATTCATTAAGGAGGGTCACAAATCTTCTCTTCAGATCATTCTTCTGTTAAGAGGGTTTTGTTTTACTGCTGCAATTCATTCAAGTTTTTCCTTCACAATAAGAAATCTCTAATCACAACCTTCAGGAGGTAAATTCCAAAATCTTACACAACCCTTGACAATCACAACTTGTGTACATCCACTCCTCATTGATCACAACCTCTGAGTATATCCATTCCTCAGTAATCTATTGCAGAAGAGTCCAATATGTTGTTTTACATTTTCCTTAGCACTTATTGTCACAAAACACTATACCCAGGAGTCAGCACCCCCTGCTGGACTTCCTGGTTCACCTAGATTCACCTGATAACCAGGGCCTAAGTCGTCTCTGCGTTTGTTTTTATTGACTTGAGCATATAAAGGTTCTCCTCCATGTGACACAGATTGTGGCTGAGCTTGCTGTTGCTAAAACAGAAATATCAATGCACTGAGTACCATATAGGCTACATTAAGCTCACAAATGATTGATAAAAAATAGTTTTTAATCTGATCTTCTAATATTTACATTTTTGAGATATATATTGTTGACTGAGAGGACTTCATTAACATTGACTTACTGGTTGTAATCCCGGGAAGAGGGGGACGCCACCTACAGGGGTTTTCCTTTCCCTCCTGTCCTCATCTAAAGGGGCATAACCAATGTCTCTCATCGGAATCTCCTCACCCTAAAAAACAAAAATACTGCCACATCAGATCACAGTGAATGAGGAATTAGTATTAGAAACATGTATATTTTATACTTGTACTATCCTTTTTTTCTCCGCTCTTAAAAAAAATAAATTGACATTTCATTTGCATTACACTGACATGAGCAAACTTTATTTTGGTTTCCAACTAATGTATTTACACATCTTAATCCATTCTCATCAATTATAGGTGAGGTTAAATTAATTACTCCAAGTTAAAGATTGCCTATTAGGACTATTCCTGGACCAGTAAAAAAATCTACTCTACCCCAGGACTCCAGAAAATTTCATGGAGTACCAACCCTAGATTTTCTTTCTTTCAAAAGGGACCATGCACAGAATTTATTTTTTCATACAGGAACCCGGGATAGAAGTAATTTTTATATTAGGAAATCTAAGGTAATCAATGTTTTCCAGAATCTGGACTATGTTATAATCAGGAAAATAATTTACGTTTATTATCCCAAACAGGCAGGGCTAGAAGAGATTTCCAACAGTACATACAGTACCATGGAGAGATGTAAATTATCAACTTAATCAACCCACTATAGAATCAATTTATTCATAAGCATCCCCATGAATAGAAGACTATTTTTTTTTGCCATCCAGGGATCTTTTTTTTTGTTTTACTGGAAACAGTCCTTTGGGGTTGTGATTATTTGATGACTCTGGAAAACTCACCCTTCTTCTGTCATCATAGGAGTAAGGTTCTACAAAATAAAAACATACAATCATCACATTCAGAATCATCAGTTTCATAGAGTTTCAGAACTGAAGAACAGATATAAATAAAAAAACGTTACTAAAAAAATATAACTTTGATTTTCAGTACATACCTTCTACGTTCATGGCAGGGTTGCTGTGACCTTGAACCATGCCATGGTAACCCCCATTGGCAGGTATATATGGTTTGTTCATTGGTCGCCCTGGTGACAAAGTGTTATCATCATAACCATGGCTCTCCATACCACGACTCATCGTACTGTAAGGGGTGGTGCTGGGGGCTCCTGTGTTTGGTGGTCTGGAGAGGAAGAATTCATGGTGATAAATCTTGTTAAAATATACTGTACACAGACTCTCTATAGACTAACTGTCACCTCATACTTAGTAATAGTTCAAACGAGAAAAGGTCAGGAACAGAAGTCATTAACAATATCAAGTGGCTTGTGTTAATCTAACAATTAAAGATGCTTAAAATTACGAATACTTACAAAATACAAAAATGCAGGTATTTCACAGTACTGTATGTACCAGAAGAGGTTTATCAACATAAGGAGCTAAGTGTAGGTTAAATTCTACACCACCTTCTATAGCAAAATTTTTGTGAGTGGCATTACATGGACACAGTCTGCCACTAAAGATACTTTAATTTCACATAGACTTGTGTCATTTCGTGGAGAAAGCCTGCCACGGTAAATGTAGACACATAACTGGGGGAGGGGTTGAGGTGCCTTTTATCATTTCATATTACTCTGCAAACTGACTACATAACTGCTGGCCAACACTTGGGCTTTTGTCTCTTTTTTTGGTATTAGCTCTCTGTAAACTGAAACATACCTACTGGGGGATTGGAAGGGAGGGGGTGGGGGATGGGGTATTATCAGATTAACTCTGTATGTACAGACTAAATACCTGTTGGCTGACACTCGGGCCTTTGCCCTCTTTTTCTGTATTAACTTTCTGTAAACCGACTACATACCTACTGGGGGATTGGAAAGGGGGAGGGGGGGGGGTATTATCAGATTAACTCTGTATGTACAGACTACATACCTACTGGGGGACTGGAAGGGGGGGGGGGGGTATTATCAGATTAACTCTGTATGTACAGACTATGTACCTGCTGGCTGAGGCTGGGGCCTTCACCTCCTGTTCTGTCAGACCATTCTGTATCAACTCCCCATGAAGTGACTTAAACTCCCATAGTTTATCCAGAAGCTGTCAATGAAAGAAACTACAGTAAAATCTGAAGTCACAAGTGAGACTGTTCACAAACAGAAATCTTCTACCACTGACACGTCTGTTTTAGTTGTATATTTCTTTTTTTTTAGCAGAAGTCTCCCAAACTTACCCTCTGTACTTGGTCTTTGGTTTTCTTCTGAAACTTTCCTGGAGCAAATTTCACAAACTTTAATCTAGGAATGCCCTTTTCTCTCACAAACATTCTGAAGAAAAGAAATTACCAAATATAAGCCAAATTAAAAAAAAATCATGTATGCAATGAGTTTCATTCTATAAACACATCTAAAATCCATCACTTACTGTGCGAAGTCTACACTGTTCTTCAGTAGTTCTATAAGGAGAGCCACAGCAGCACATATTGTCTTATCAGGGACATTCTCCTTTTGTTTCTCCAGTGGTAGGGTGTTAATTATGGGCTTCAAGGCATATTTACCTAGAAAAACAATAATATTTTATCCTAAAATAGTAATTTATCATAATTAATGTAACTAATTTTCATGATTTCAGGGATAAATCTTTTTTTATTTTCTCAAACAATTTTGTGATCAAATTATTAGCTACATTTCATTTTTGCTAATAATGCCTCAATCAGATGGTGACTCAAAATTTCCTGTATACTGTTCCTCTTACATAACGTTAATATGTTGAATATACACAATTCCTTAAATTGAACAGTTACCTATCAGCTCCTTGTATGTTATATGTTGAATATACACACTTCCTTAAATTGAACAGTTTACCTATCAGCTCCTTGTATGTTATATGTAGAATATACACACTTCCTTAAATTGAACAGTTTACCTATCAGCTCCTTGTACATTATATGTTGAATATACACAATTCCTTAAATTGAACAGTTTACCTATCAGCTCCTTGTATGTTATATGTTGAATATACACAATTCCTTAAATTGAACAGTTTACCTATCAGCTCCTTGTATGTTATATGTTGAATATACACACTTCCTTAAATTGAACAGTTTACCTATCAGCTCTTTATTCCTCTCATCAATGGCTAAGTTGCGTAGTGCGAGGGCTGAGTGACACACAAGGTCATCTCGATCTTGACCCAGTAAATCAACCAATGAGGGCAGCCCTTTCTCTATCCTCACTAGAGCTCTGGCATCATCTGCAAACTGAAAAACAAAACAAGCTTTTGTGAATTTTGTAAGATCACCATATTACAGGAACATGTATTATCCACAACAACATAAATACATAAATATAGAGTGTATTAATTGATCATTAAATCTGATATTAACTGGAAAGAACATTTTAAGCTTTCGATGATCATTTTTATTTGGATTGCATAGTGTCATAAACTGCTTACACACAAATTGTTTTGTAATCTACACTTGATTTATGAGACCATGCAATGGAAAAAAGGATCATTTAATCATCATATACAATCAAAACAGTTATAAATTCATTTTACAAGTTGATATTAACTAGAAACAGCATATTTTTAGACACTCTGGTCACAGTATATCAATTTTTTTAATTCTAGTTTGGGTTACACCCCTCCCCCTCCTTGTCCTATCTTCCAGTAAAAGGCTGTTAAGTTTTGTAACCCCCCACATCACACACCATTTTTCCCCTTCACTGTCCTACCTTCAAGTAGAAAGTTGTTAGGTTCTGTATGCCCCCCACAGCTTAGTGCCCCCCCCCCCTCCTTTTCCCCCTCACTTTCCTACCTTCCAGTAACAGGCTGTTAGGTTCTGTATGCCCCCCACAGCTTAGTGCCCCCCCCCCCCCATTTTCGCCCTCACTTTCCTACCTTCCAGTAACAGGCTGTTAGGTTTTGTTTTGCCCCCCCCCCCAGCTTAGTCCCCCCACTTTCCTACCTTCCAGTAACAGGCTGTTAGGTTTTGTACTGCCCCCACTGCTGCCTCTACTGTTACTGGGTTAGAACTCTCCTTCAGTATATCTAGATACAGCGTGACTGTCTCCTGCTTCCAGAGAGCCTTGAATTCCTGCGCCCCCGGTGGCAGATGTATCTCAGCACTGTAACAATACATCAAAGTTTCTGAGTAGAATTCAAAATTTTACATGATTTTTTGTCAAAATTACATTCCTTTGCATCTTGAAAATAATTTTAAGTGTACGTCTTCAACAATAGTCAATATCTGTAAAATTGTTCAAAACAAACAGATCTAGTCTTGGAATAGCCATTGTTACAGGATGACTTACTTTTGATTCATGTCGGGTTTTCCTTTTTTGGCTGCTGTTCCCTTCTTCTTATTTCCTCCCCCTCCAAAGCACCCTGTTGTTTCTGTGAAAAAAACAAATAACACATTTATAAATGAAAAAAAAAGCACAATCATATAGATAAATGTATAATGAAGAATATTTTAATGTCTCAAACTACCTGGGATATCTGGCAGTTTTCCCTTGCTTAAATTTCTAATTTCCCAAAAATTCACAGCTTAAATTTCTAAAACTAATCCTGCTGTTTTAATAATAATTTTCTTTTTTAATCACTGTATATCTTATTTTGTAAAAGACTCCTTGTATCCTCATAATGAAGAAGCTTTAAATGTGTTCAAAGTTTTCAGGTTCAAAATGTCAAATGTTCTACAAAAAGATCACCTTGAAAAATGCTGAGAACTTAGATTAAAGTATTTGCTTAAATATGTGCCTCAGATATTTCCTTAAATGATGCACATTCATAGGAACTTCCTTGCAAAACAGGGTTCGACACTAATATTTTTAGGCATTAGTCCAACCGAACTAGCACTTCTTTAATTTTACGAGTCCGTCAAAAGAAAAGGAAAATGAATGTTTTGAAACAATTAATTTAAAAATAAATATTACAATGTACGTTTTATACTTAATTTTACATGAAGTGTTTTATTCCACAGATTTGTTGAAATCTCGTGATCAGGAAGTATGATCGTATTCCTGATCTTGTTCTTTTTTAATCGATACAACCAAAACCTTAGACATCTTTCTTTTGTGTCAATCTAGAAAGCTAAACATACATGCGGGATTTTCCCGTAAAAGTTGTCGAACATCTGTAACTAATTTATTTTGTTTTCCAGAAATTTTTAATGGTACAATCGGACCAATTAGCCACATATTTTATTATTCCAAATGAAAATGTACTAGTCTGAGACTAACGGACTAATTTTAATGTCGAACCCTGCAAAATGTAAAGCACTTCATCGTTTTCTTTTTTTCCATACAAAAATATGGCATTACTTGAATTTGAAAGAACAGTCCTGGTTTTAAAATGTTAGATTCCTCTTTCCAATTTAAAAACCACAAGGCAGACTTGAAAACATCATTATAATTACTGACATAACAGAAGTACATGTAAGTCCTCCAACACCCCTCTGACACCACTCTCCAACCTCCACAGAGTTATCTACCCTTGTCTGGCTGCTGGCGACGTTTTAACGTCTAGAGTTACCTACCCTTGTCTGGCTGCTGGCGACGTTTTAACGTCTCTGTTCGTTTTTTATAAAAGTCCTGTTCTGTCACTTCTTGAATTCGGAATGAGAGATTCCGTAAAGCACACATACAGTTCTCCACAATTTTATTTTCACGATCCCTTTTGTCTCTAGAGATTTTGAGAGTATAAATTAAACTGTTCACTAATCGACTGCTCTCTCTTAGTTTATTTCTCGTGTCATAACCCCTCATTTCATCGTCTTTATACGCTGAACTCAGATTTCTGAAAAACAAACACAAAACTTACAAAAAAAAATCAAAGGCCTGAGAGGCACATCACATTTTATGTACAAACATTAAGTATTTCATTATTTTATTTTCCGTTTTCCAGGATTTTTGACAATTTTCTTTTGTTTGGAATCAATGTTTCGTATCCCCATGCTTTACCAACGTTTAAAAATTACACAAAATACATTTTAAAAAACTACACAAAATACATAAATTTAGCTCTAAATAAAATTTTAGTTTCTCAGCGAGTCAGGAAAAAACATTTCTACACTTAATATTAAGGGTGCAACGATAAACCATTTGACCATATATCGCGGTATATTTTCCCACGGTTCAATTCATGATACGCTAAACTGATATCACGATTCGGTTCAATCGGTCCAGAATTATCCGAATCGTCCGTTTTGTTTCCTCGTTTACAATTTCAAAATGGCTTCCGCGCAAAAAATGAGGTCGAGTAACGACAATTAAACTCATCTCCAGCATCTTACAGACCTCAGACTTAACACGGTGAAGGACTTTATCTAATTCCTAATGTGATTAAAAGTAATAGATGTTAAGACAAATGAAAAACCCTTTAGATCTAAAAATATTCTATCATAATGGTAATACACGGTATCTCACCACACATGCATTTCCAACTTGTGGACTAGAACGTGATAACACGAGAAATATGACGACTGGTTTTCTATGTAAATAAAAGGAATAAAAGAATGAATGTCTTCCTTTGTCATTCCAATTTAAAAGGAAGATTATGAGGAAAGGCCTTCTTCTATAAATAAGTCATATGTGAACTTCGAATCCAGGCTACCGTAGTTCCTTCCATGTAAATGTTCTTCATTGGTTCAGAATATTGTTACAACTCAAAGATCTGCCTATCAATCCAAATAACGTTAACAAATTGATATTTTAATTATCAAAAATATGAACATTTGATATAATCCTGTCGAGTTTTAAAAAAATATAATGACAAACTTGAAAGACTTCTTTACCTTGTCATGTATCGTGATACGTATCGTATCGTGTACTGAATACCGTGATACGTATCGTATCGTGAGGTTGGTGTATCGTTGCACTCTTACTTAATATAGTAGGTATTTTTATTTTTTAACTAAGCTGGCTGTAGCATGAGTTACCTCTCTTTTTCCCGTAAGCATGTGGCATAGTTGCCAGTCTTTAGAATATTATTTTTTGTAATGGACTTCTTTTAATTCAGTTACCATAAAATATATTCAAAGTTTCTAATCATTTGTTACCTTCAGATTATGCACACTGGTAAATGATGATTTGCCAAAAAATGATTTTTTTTTTATATCATTAAACACTTGTTACTGATCAAAGAGAAAATTAAGTTATTTCCATTTCAAATGATGCAAAGGTATCCCATGCGACAGTTCCTCTTCATTGTGTTAAACCCTAATTACTAAAGCCATGTGCCTCAAACAAAGGTGAAGAAAAAATAAATCCTGGAAATATTTCCAAGTACATTGTAACTATAGACATGACATACAAACCACAGGACTTATAATTCCTCATGATACCGATTATTACTGACTCAGAGATAAATCTAAATCATTCACAACATTTCTCTTCCTCTAACCTGATGATTCCTGTTGCATTTTTGTACACTGTAGTCCATGGTTCATACTCCATCATCTTACGTTGTTCCCAGCCGGAGTATGGTACAATGACATGACTGACTATGTCTGGTAACCCCTCCGCGATTATCTTCGGCTTCAGCTCCTGAAACAAGACAAATGTTCACATTAATATATGGAGAGTTACAAATGAGCTCTGAACATACTTATTTCTACCACCACTTGCTAATTATATCTATAACACACACATATTTCTTGATAAACAGTCGGGATTTTATAAGCAAAATCAGTTTCTAAATTTTCCACTTAATTAAGGTTGGGCACCAAGATCTTTCTATGTCAAAAGAAACAAAAAATTCTTAAACACCTCGACAAACTTCTCAATTTTTTAACTACAATATAAGTGAAAACAGTTTTGACTAAACCTGGAAAACTTTCCTGAATACTTTGATTCATTATAAGCCTAAATAAGGTTTGTTACCCCTAAAATGTGAAACAAGATATCCTAGGGATATTCTTGTTAATAATTCTGTCATTGATACAAACAAAAGACAGAGAGTATTAATGTGTGAATATTCATCCATATCACAAAACAAAATTTACCTCACAAGACGAAAGATTCCACAAAATGCCTGTCACCAATTCCTTGATTTCTTCTTCCCGAGTTTTACGTATAAGACGAATTAACTCCGTAATTCCACCTGCATTGGCGATTGCTTTCTGTAACAAAAACAAAATCCACAATGACAAACAGCCCACAGATTTCCTCAGACTTGTACCCCCTAAGTTCAAAAGTGGAAACAGTTTAATTGCAGACATATCTCACTAAAATTGGAACTGTGAAAAGCTGAACATTAATAAACCAATACTGCCACCTTCTCCATTAAAATAAAACAAAAATAATAATCCCCGTACCTTATTATCCGTTCCTGCAGGTCCTCGGCCGTAGGACAGATTTTTGAGGGCCCCGCAGGCATTCTTCTGGACCTCAGGGTAATCACTGTGTAACAGCTCCACAAGTGGGGGGATCCCATCAAGACCCCTGTTGAAGACAAAATAGCCACATTGAAATAGTACAAACAAAACGACAAAATGATTTAAAACTAAGAGATACAAAGCAAAATATTCTGCACTTTAGGCCAAAAAAAATTAATCAATAGTTTCTCAGGCACCACCGCATCAGGTCAAACACTGTGTCAATAAAATTGATCAATGCGGCAGTGTCTGACATGCCAGGATGTACAGGTTATAATACCTCACTGATGCTTAACTCGAACACTGAACATATTTTAATACTGCAATTAATATATTTTGTGTCCTTTTACAAAATAAAAGTATTTCTCATGTTCATAAATTAACATGCTCAAATGGTAACTTAAAACATACATCTTGGAGCTTGAAAGGCAATGAGAAAGTTACCAATTATAGACTTTGTAAGAATACCTTGGGACCAATCTAACGCAGCTAGACAGACAATGAAAATCTTACCAGTCATATACTCTGAACTGGAGCTAGACAAATAATGGGAACTTACCAATCATACACTTTGTAAGAGTACCTTGGAACCGGTCTAACAGAGCTAGACAAATAATGGGAACTTACCAATCATACACTTTGTAAGAGTACCTTGGGACCGGTCTAACTACATTGATGTTCTGTGGAATGTAATATTCCATAACAGTACTTCCTGTCTCCCATAACTCTCCCCTAAATCTCAGCTATATTTATCTAAGATGTCTTATTGTACAAAGTCAAGGTGACCTACATTTGCCCAAGGACTGAAGTGAAATCAAGCATCAAATATCTCTTCGTGTAATCAACTTTAGTGGATATAGAATCTTATTCTGGGTGAATTGTGTACGGTATTCATAACAACTGACTTAAGATATCAATGATCACCACATAAATTCACTGAGATATTTATCTCTCACAAAATAAGATCTAGTTCTTGATATTCTTCATTCTAATTTTAAAATCTTTGTTCTCATTCCATCGAACAAACACCAAACTGTGTCATCTGGTCTCCTTAATGAACACAGTCTAAGCCGTTCAAGTAATGCTTATTAAAGCCACTTTGTGTAAATTTATACATGCTGTACAGCACACTTTTTACATTATGAAATGTAAATCTTAAATATTGTCCTGTCTATTTTACCTCAAATAATGATTTATCAAAATTGTTTTGCTTCAATTATGCCTGGCCATATGTTTATTCAAATTTGGGTCTTGATACATTCTACCCTTACCAAATGTGATGATATGGTGCGTTAATCTATACTCGTACTTCTGTCATATTTTTATTTTCTAAAGATAGATCGAAATTCATATTCTTACCTGGTATATATATGTCTGTCAATCAGTAGATGGTTTTGACTTTGATATCCTGGTCTGTATAACCTTACCTGGATTTGACCTGGACATCCTGGTCTGTATAACCTTACCTAGTTTTGACCTTGATATCCTAGTCTGTATAACCTTATCTGGATTTGACCTTAATATCCTGGTCTGTATAACCTTACTTGGTTTTGACCTTGATATCCTGGTCTGTATAACCTTACCTGGTTTTGACCTTGACATCTTGGTCAGTATAACCGCACCTGGTTTTGACCTTGACATCTTGGTCAGTATAACCGCACCTGGTTTTGACCTTGCTATCCTGGTCAGTATATCCCTACCTGGTTTTGACCTTGATATCCTGGTCTGTGTAACACAAATGCTGTAAGTAGGCAGCAGCATTGGCCTTGACCTGATTGTTAGGATGACTCAGGTAATCAATTACTTCCTGTAGGTCAGGAGGTCGCCAGCTATTTCCTGTCAAAAGATTAGTGGAAATAAATTGATAAAATTGCTAAAAATTCATAGCTCTTTTTCAAACACTTAAATTGCAAAAAAATCATTAAAAATTCTCTAAAAAAAAAAACTCCATCCTGACATTATTGACCAATCATGCAGTCTTCTAAATTGTAAGATTTCATATCAAATATACTTCAGACCTGACATTCTTAAATAAAACGACACCTGATTCCATCAATAATTCACATCAACAATCTTTTTCATCCATTTGTTTCCCAGAAAAATGGAGACTGTCTTTAGACCCTAGATCAATGAGAATTAACTATCTCACACTGTATGGATTGATCGTGTTGATGGGGATTTTTGCACACCAATAATGGCTATTTATAATTTGTCAGTCTGCCCAGGTTAAGGCTGCAGTGAGACACAGCTATAAAAAAGTCTGAAGGAGTAAAAAGGAGATGTGTAAGAATCAATAATGGTTTATTTGTCTGGGGGCATGGCCGGGTCAAAGAAGGATTACCATTAAGACGGCTAATTAAAGAACATTCAGAGAATGCTCACTGTAGTAACTGAACTGTTGAAGAAGAATGCAATGTGATGTTAAAATTCTCAACCTTAAAATTGGAACAACTTCACTAGCACTGCATGAAGCCATTTTCTCTTTTCCATTTTAAATTAAATGTAAATCATAATTGTAAATGTCTGAAGCATGGCACGAGTCCTCAGAATCTAAGTAAACTAATCTAGCAGAAGTACCACTTTACAGAAGGCTTAAAGTCTCTTCTTTGATAATTAAACATTCAAATATAACATAAAATTTTCAATTGAATTACAATTTCCCAATTTAAAACAAATTATTCTTATTTTTTCCCAATAACTTGAAATATGACTGAAAATAATCAAAATAAACCAAATAAGCCTCAAAATATTTCTTCCTTCTTCATTACTTAAAACTTTAAATCAGACACTGTTTTACAGAAGTTTCAAAACATTAACACAAATACAAAATGTGCATTCTACATGTTCTATTCTTGTAAAGATTTCTGCTTCAAAAAGATTTTTTATTGTTGAAAACATAGAACTTGATAGTGATGAAACAAAAGAGTATGAATGAATGCATTTATAATAATCTGAATTTTTGTTTTGTTGACAGTGGAGCAGAATCTTTAAAGTTGTCCCTACAGAGCCATTACTGGGTCAGGAAATCAATTAACTACCTTACCCAGGTGTATCAGGTTTAAATCCCCAGTACAAAAGCTCTGTATATAAAGCCACCAGAGACCTTGTACAAGGCAGACCTACCCTTATCTCCCCCGATCTTAAACACCCTGTAACTACTGACACCCTCCTAACTTTATATTTCTGTGTCTCTTTACTTCACTCTGTTGTAATCCTGAATGTGTTCTCGGTTTAATAAAGTTGTAAAACCAACACTTCACTGACAAGGTGTCACTCTGAAAACATTAACCTTGCCATAAATGTCAATCAAATTAAAAAACCTACCTCGTATATCCGTTAGCTGAAAATCCATCAATTAAAATTCATAGAATTCCTCAGTGACATAAATCCAAGTAAAAAAGCATCTAGCTAATTAGTTAATTATCCCCACACTGTGTGTTCACTTCTAGCCCTGATAGATGTGGAGGGTGTATAGAATTCTAACACTAAACAGAGACTTCTGTGTAATTACAATCACTGCACCGGTCCTTATCAGGCCAAAATTCTTGACAAAGAGCCCACAATGGCTATATATAAAGCACCGCTGGTTACCATTCAAGTCATTATTTACAAGTCCAGATAAAGTCCCCCCGAGCCAGGACACGTATCAATCCCAGCCTTATGTCCGCTACCCATGCCAATGTACTGCTACAGTATTAAAAATTTGCCATTAGAGAGGGAAAAAACTTGATAATGTACGCTTATCCGTCAAATATCTTCCATCTACCTCAACTTATAAAAGGCAAATAGAAACAATGTCTCAATAATTCCCACACATTATAAAATAGCAGCCAGTACCTGGTCTACTTTAGTAATGCTTTATCATATCCATGTTTCTGATCTATTCTATACATGAATGTCAGGCACCTGAAGTGATTTTCCTCAAAACTAAAAAGATGAATCTAATTTTTTACTCCCCCACTTGCCTTTCCACATTCACTGTGACCCAACAAGAATATAAATCAATGTTCCATTCATTCAATGTGTTCAAGGTTTTTAAGTTCTGTTTTTTTTTTAACCAAGACAGAATAATACACGTAAACTGTGAGACATTTAGCATGTCTGGAGGAAACAAAATCTCTCCTACCCATACATGTGATAAGTCAAAGACCACAAAACTGTACAGGAGCCACAAAAAAACTGGAATTTGGGTGAAAAAACTGTACACTGCCTATCAAAAAACGGTACAAAAAATGGTATAAAATATTGCTTAAATTCTACTGAAATTCCATCGTAATCATTGTAATAAACATCGTATATTTTATACCTACGAAGATCTGGGTCAGATTCACGTATATTAAGTCATGTATATCAAATTTAGAAGTTGGCTTAATTTTTTTCAATCAAGTACATTAACAGTAATTAAGTACCCCTTAAAAAATAAAGCTACTTAAAGGGGCATTTGATACGAATTTATAGCAAGATAATTATCCCAATTGGCAGTTCACACCTTCGCACGCGATGGTTTGTGTACACTACACAATTATCATCAGGTCAAGTGTCAACACAGGTGATGTTTTCCAGTGTCTCGCGAGCGAGAATGAGAGGAAAATGGCGGCATTTAGCGAGAAATTCAAAATACTGTACAAATTTTCATATTCCGTGAATTTTGGTGTCCCGCCGGTACACGATGAATGGGCTCGAAAAACTGTACATTTTGCGTACAGCCTGTACATATCACATGTATGCCTACCCTCTCCTTGTATTGATGGTGTACGCCTGCCGTCAGAGAAATGCTCCCTGGATGGTGCGTTTACGAGGGCGGCCTCTAATCGCGGGATGTTGTCCTCATACATCCCCCTCTGTGGGGTACCGCGGCCATCGTTACTATAGCGATCATCATACTGTGTTGGTGGCTGATCATTATATCCACCTAAACAGAAAATTTAACATATACCTGTAACATATGTCAATTAAGTGTAACATGCCCTATTTATAGAAACATATCTGATTCATTCTTTCATGTAAGATCTCCTTCAAACCTCCATTACTGTAAACAATACATTTAGCATGAAATCTAACATTAATTAAGCATGAAAACTAACTTTAAGCATGAAAGCTCTAATTTTTCACACTCTAAGGATTATGTTTCCCTGAAAATGAGCTCCCAGATACATCCAATGGCCTTCAAATCATTCCCCAAGACCAGCCATAAGACCAGGTGTCAAATCTAGACACTAGACCTTTCAACACAGTCAAAAAAACACTGACAAGTGATGTTCCCTATGTCTAAATACCAATGAATTATGGGATACTCACTCATGTTAGAATGATCAAAGTCAGGACGTGATTCCAGATTCTGAGGTGTCATCGGTGCATATTCACCATGACGACCATCATAAGGTTCAAAGTCATCCTGGGGTATATATCTCAGGTCAGGGTTAGAATCTAAAAATAGACATCCATGGAAAATCCTCTAACCAACAGCCTATCCAAGATAGTTTTTCCTCCAGTTGAATTCAATACAAGAAACAGAGAAAATGGACAGAGAGACAAGAGAAAAGGAGATTTGATGTAGAAAGGAAGAAGAAAGGACAGAAAAAATATTTCAAGTCCCTTTACCTGTTTACTCGTCATTGAGATATGAAGTATACATGAAGATGACAATGACTTTATACTGAATCTCCACAACAACAAACGTTAAGATGAACAAGACCATGTACTTAATGAGAACAGCTATTATATTTTATCAGTGCATTCTGTATATGATACTCACTCATGTTAGATTGATCAAAGTCAGGACGGGATTCCAAATTAGGGGCTGTCATTGGGGCATATTCACCATGACGACCACTGTAGGGATCAAAGTCATCCTGGGGTACGAATCTCAGGTCAGGGTTAGAATCTAAAAATAGACATCCATAACAGTTCCTTTGACCGAAATCCTAACCAAGAAAGTTCTCAAATATAGAGACAGAGAGAAAGCAGAAATGAGGGAGGGGTGAGAGAACACAGAAATAAGAGGGTTTGTGAACAAACAGTGTGTACAAACTCCATCATACAGCAGGTCAAACTGACTCTAGTCATCTTGTATAAACATACAGAAACCTTGTAACAAAGTCTGACACACACTGGTACACAGAGCAAGGCAAGAAAGAGAAACTGAACACAAAAAAAGAAAAGAAAGTTATGGGGAGCAAAGTGGTGTTGACTGCAATACATGTCAGAGGCAATAGAAAATACGGGGACGTACAAAAATAAATAAGAGAGTTAAATGTTGTATTATGTCAGATGCGGAAATGTTTAGTTTACAATTCTACACAGAAAAACATAGCCAAGTAAGTTTCTGTAAATAAAAATAATAATCCTTACAAAATTCAAGAGTTCACTCTCCAAAAATACATACAAATGTTTAATACTTTTGTACAACATATTCTGCAAGGAAAAAAAACCCGACTTACCATACTGGTCATGTACTGAGGTTGGTGTGCGACTTCTCTGCTGTTGTTGTTGGAACGGATCGTCAGCAAATGGATCGCTATGAACCTGAGGGAGTCCTTCATGTTTCCTGTACGGCTGATCATCATAATCACCAAATGTTTGCTGTTCATCCCCGTAACGGTCATCAGGAGCCCGGCGATCAAAGCTCTGATTCTGGGGGTCACCAGGGTAACTATCGTCTGGAGGATAGTTGCCATGGGGATCGTTAAGAGACATGTTTTGAAACCTATCATCTGGTGGTCCCTCCCCTCCATAACCCTGATTCCTAGGGACAGGTGATTCTCGATAATCCTCTGGATATCTGTCGTCTGTATAGGAGGGGTCCTGGAAACGACTGTCCTCTGGGGGGTAGTCATGGTAATTGTCCTGGGAAGGACCAGTTCTAGGATACATGTTATTTCTGTCTGGAGAGTCCCTATAGAAAGAGTCACTAAAACGGGAGTCATTGTGAGGGTCTCCATAGCGATCGTTACCAGGGTGATCACCATAGCGATCGTTACCAGGGTGATCACCATAGGGATCGTTTCCAGGGTGATCACCATAGCGATCATCAGCTGGGTGACCTGTGTACCTGGGATCCTGATTAATTTGTTGATTACTGCTGTATGGGGGAGATTCATCATAGCTTCCTCTGCTCCTTGGAGGGGCGTCTCCATAGCGATCGTCAGTTGGGTGACCTGTGTACCTAGGGTCTTGGTTCATGTGTTGGTTGCTGCTATAAGGAGGAGATTCATCATAACTCCCTCTACTTCGTGGAGGAGCATCCCTAACAATGGCAAAAACAAACAATTCTTGTACATCTGTTAGAATTTATCTGTATTACATATCAAAATAGAAAATAGGAAATAGCATTTGAATTATTTGTTGTGTTTATTTGTTGAATTACCTGATCAAAATTTGAATTTTGATTAAACTTTATTTTGGATTCTTTTCCTCTGATTTACTGTCTCAAATTTAAATATCCAGTAAGAAAAAAAAATTAAATGATAAATAAAACAAAATATTTCATAACACAAGGCTGCTTACAATCAAAGTGTTGTTTAAACTTGACAAATGACCCAAACCCCAAGTAAAGCTTTGGCCGTGACATTTAATTTTCTTAAAATATGAGGATGCTATCCTTCCCAACTCAAAATTCAGGGATACTTTGAAAATTGTGGACAGATGGACATACAGGCATACCCCCGGTAATGAAATTAAATGTTATACCTTACTACGATATTAACAACTAAAAAAAATTAAAATATGTAAAAGACAAATAAAGCTATGAAGTTAAGATATTTAACAAAACTGCACTGATGTAAGAAAACAATGGGATACACTGCATACCACCATTGATAGAAATGTACTCTATGGAAGTTGTAGAACTTGTTTAAAATATTATCTCAATTATGGATTTCTACAGTAAATTTTAATGCAATCTTCAATATTACTTCAGTTGTAAAATTTACACCGAATTTTAATGCATATCCTCAGTTTGTTACTGTATAATGCTGTATTTTGTCAAAATTCCTGATTTATATCTTTAACTCCTGTAAGATTTTTCTACAATGTCTGTCTTGCAGCAGTATGCAGTGCATTATAATGAAATCTCTCTGAATCCCAGCATGTGTCATAAAAGCTGGATGATGAAGTCAAATATGTGCCCACACCTCCATGCATTAGAGTAGCACAAACTGGCCTACATACCGAGGTATTACAGCATACCTGGGTATCCCACAATGCATTGTTTTGGGATCGCTTTAAAAACTAATGTCATTTGTACTACACAACAAATCAAGGTAATCTATTTAAATCATCACCATGATCACATTAAGATAATAAGCTTACAAACATTTCTCTGATTTCCAAAAAGATAGCTATGCAAAAAATACTCATTTGTTTTCTTTAAAAACACTGATAAAGAGACAACATTTAATTTTCTTTTAAAGTTTTTACATAAACCAGGGAAGGAGAATTGCATTATGGGATAGTGTAAATACAAGCATACTAACTACCTAGGATCATAAATACTGTATGGATCAGCTTGGTGTAAACTATCATTAGACGCCACACTGTAGCGGCCCCCGCTACCGTACGGCGGGTCCTGATAGCCGTTAAACCTTGTAGGGGTAGTGGGGCCTCGAGGGGACCCCTGGGGATCCTCATTGTACTGCTGCCGGGAGAGGGAGGAGTAAGAGGCATAGTTATCATGGGGGAGCTCCTGTCTGTGGAGGGACCCTAACGAGCCCTGGACCCCTGACTTGTTATCCTGAAAAAAAAAAAATACAAAATGTAAATCCAATGTCAGAGATACATAAGAGCATCCTGATGGTATCAACTCCAATTCTTAATTCTTACCATTCTGGAGGGGTTTCTGTGACTACCCCCGCTCTGGAGGGACACTCTGGATCCATGAGGGGATCTGTCATCATGGAAATACTGACCACCATTTGGGAGGTGGGGAGAATACCTTTGTCCATAAGGATCACTGCTGTACATGCCAGGGTCATGCCCCCCATAACTCTCGTGTGCATAATTATCAAAATCCATCGTATCAGTTCTGAAAAGTTAAAAGGACAACATAAACACCTTAATGAAATCATCACCTGAATTAAATCATTACCTTAATTAGCATTTTATTTTATGTAAAGCACTTTTTAGAAGGTCAACAAACTTTAAATGAAAGAAGAAAAATTCGATAACATATAACATCGATAACTATAATATTTTTGTCATAAAATGCAATCAATTAATCAATGTTAATACAATAATGCCACAGTAATATCTGACATAGCAATAAAGATATTATTCATATTAAACATGGTAAACTGCTTCAAATTTCAATGCAATTCAAGATATTCAATGTACTCAATACAATCATTTGTTTCGTAATTCACCACTGAAGAGAGTAATTTTAGAACATTATTTCTTAAAACAAAATAATAAACAACCGAAGGACAGGTTAATGTACACTTGTTTATGAACCGAGCATTTCCCTTTCCCAAATCGTTTTAGAATGATAACCCCTGGTTTACATCAAAGCTTTGATCAATCTTATTCAGTAGTAAGATCTATAATGGTAGTGTTTCTGTGTGTCCCCCGACCAGTGTGGACCAGTCAGCTAATTACAGGTGTGTCCTGGTCCCAGGTGAGATAATTACACACCTGGGAATGAGACCAGAACCAGTTCAGATTGTTATCGGTTTAATCCAAGTGACTGCAGTGATGAATACTGATAAAGCCGTGGAGATTGTGTATTTAACTTGTCGTTCATGTACCTACAGGCTAACTATTGTCACCAGCCTCAATACCACTCTGTCACTGTTTACACAACATTTTACAATAATATTTTTGATGTTCCAATTCTAAACATTTATTTTGAACGTAACATTGAACAGAGAGATCTATCCTGATTGTATATTACCCCAATTATTTAGAGTTTCCTGTTGTTTACTTCACAGAATACTGTATATGTACATAAATTGGTGTATTCAAAATTTAGCGCAATCACTAGTAGGTATTGAGTGGTTGGTGTAATCATGAATTAGCGCTACAAATGTCTGCGCCATGTATTGTATTTATTAATGAATTATTAACCCTATTCATTAATTAGCGCATTGTTGTCTGTGCCAAAGGCGCTAAAATATGAAGCCCGCTTTTTCAAGTACACAATCAGTTTGTATATGTCCCAAGCTTGTTTAATATGGGCCCTTAATTAATTATATAATATATACGTACCCAAAAGTACCTCTGTCTTCTAATTCTCTCCTGTAATAATAAACACAAATGTTAGTGTCACATCCCGTAAACTATAAACATAAAAGACACATCAAATAAATCCAGCTCCTCACAGACTCATAGTTCCTGTTGATTATATTAAATAAGAGTGATAAAAATTCCTTAGTGTGATTGTACTCCCAGTGTTAAAATTCCTACACAATGTTGTGACATGTTTAAACACTGTATGCACATATCAACTTTATAGCCATGAAAACCTGGCGTCAGAACTTACAAATCCTCAGTTCACTGTCTCACAAATTCCCAGGACAAACAAAAAACAGCCATGATTATAATCCTTGTATCACTGTCTCTCTCTAAATTCACTGAAAACTGAATTCCCCATAAGCCTGCATCACACTGGACACGATGTGATGGTATATAACCCTGAGTCCCACAATATCTGAGTCCCAGGTTACATATTTGGCCCACTCTGGATTGTTGTACAATGTCTTCTCAGAGCTACGAAACACACCAAACCTTAATTCCCTGTTTGGCAGATTTTAAAAACTTTTTTTATTCTCCGAATGTAGGGCATGGTCATGTTTTAGGTTGAGTGACCATTAAATACCTGCTTGCAGTAATCCCAATACACTCGACTAGCAGGCTGACGTGAACCAAAGGTGTCTAGTTATCAGGTCGTAAAGGTGTGAATAGAGCAGAGAGAAAATGTCTGCTCCTTTATTGTTCACTCAAGCATTCACAAAAATGCACCTTCAATGCTACTTTCCACCTTAGCAGACATTTCCACCTGATTGGTCACAAAAAATGTTGAACTTCACATGTAAACAATCCATGTCTATAGAGGCCTAGACAATGGTGCATTCTTGTGTTGCTAATACTTCACACAGTATGAAGGCTGTTTCCCTGTTGGGCCAATAGTACAGTGTATATCTCGTAGTGGGTGCCTGAATTCCCCCTAGATCAGCTGACTTACAGTACAGACTAAGGTCTGGAGAGAGAGAGAGGCTTGTCTGAGAGCTGCATTCCTAACATTCCTAACATGTCCTACAGTCTATTATGTTAATATTTTTATCTCTTTATATTAACCTCACAAGTTAAACTTCAATGACTAAATATCTAATCCCGACAAATTTCCAAGGAAAGGTGGGGGGTATTGGGTGACAGTAAACACATTTCTAACAGTTGTTCTATAGGTGTGATATACAGTTGAGTAATTAACTTTGTAAAAAAAAAAAAAAAAAAAAGAAGAAAATAAAAACCTTACTGGTTAAATTTGGACTACATGTAGTGCATTTATTAAGCACTCATTAAACTCGAAAAAAAAAATTATTGGTCTTGGGCCAGAATGCATGTTTTTTTAATTCCTGGGTCACTTACTTCAACAGTTTAATAGATTCCTTGCATTATACATGCTTGCAGGGTCTATTTAATAAGTGACAACAAAGGAATGTGCTTCTATCAACATTGAAACACAGCTCTTTTACATTCCAAACTACCCATATGTTTACGTGAAGTGGATAAAAAGAAATATAACCTCTACCTGACAAGAATTTATCATGCCAGAAGAAATTTCGAGTTTTTTTCCCCTATTCAAGCAGGACTTGTGAAAAGAAAATTCTTCCAAAGTGGAAGAACAAATTAATAATGGGAGAAACATTCAGGCATTCATTTTTCACAAGCATCTTAAAAACTGGGTCTCCCAGATCTGCTCTTTTTTATTTGTACAGCCTTTACCAGCAATGTATTGGATGACATGATACTAAACCCAGAGATAACACTGTATAGACTCAGACATAAAACTTCCAGTCTAACACTTCAAAGGTTAAGACCCCACTACAAGACAGTATTAGGGTACATTATACCTGTTAGGACCCCCTCTATAAGACAGTACATAGTAATTTATACCTCTAAGGGAAGTTTATACCTGTCCCATTCACAAGTCCATTCACATCTCTGTGACAATTACACCTAATATATACTGATCCACCAAGTCCACAAAGAATAAAACAAACTTCTCTATCCAGGGGATAGCATACTCTAATCATGTTAATAAAACAAACCTAATATAGTGTGCAGCATCAAACAAGGAGCTAGCAGAACTGCAATGTAGGGCAGACCTAATATAGTGTACAGCATCAAACCAGGAGCTAGCAGCAATAATAGGGCCGACCTGATATAGTGTACAGCATCAAACCAAGAGCTAGCAGGCTGCAATTGGGCAGACCTGATATAGTGTACAGCATCAAACCAGGAGCTAGCAGGCTACAATAGGGCAGACCTGATATAGTGTACAGCATCAAACCAGGAGCTAGCAGGCTGCAATTGGGCAGACCTGATATAATGTACAGCATCAAACCAGGAGCTAGCAGGCTGCAGTAGGGCAGCCCTGATAAAGTGTACAGCATCAAACCAGGAGCAAGCAGGCTACAATAGGGCAGACCTGATATAGTGTACAGCATCAAACCAGGAGCTAGCAGGCTACAATATGGCAGACCTGATATAGTGTACAGCATCAAGCCAGGAGCTAGTAGGCTGCAGACCTGATATAGTGTACAGCATCAAGGCAGGAGCTAGAAGGCTGCAGTAGGGCAGACCTGATATAGTGTACAGCATCAAACCAGGAGCTAGTAGGCTGCAGTAGGGCAGCCCTGATACAGTGCACAGGCTTGTTTTGACATCACACAGGCAGAACACTCTGTCCTCATCTTGAAACATTTGAATAATGCACTCCTGTTTAACTCTAGAAATTCAATCTAATTCACAGAATGTTGTCTTTGTGTGAGCTTAATGAGGCATACAACCATGTTAACTAATTAGAAATCTGAACTAATTAGAAATCTTCTGGTATAAAATCCATCAGAGACACAGAGAAAGCTAGAGGAGTTTATTCTCTGTAATCCTTGTCATTAGCAGATCCTCATTTTCCTTGTGTAATTGGGAGGGAGGACTGGAAGAACATCTGGTTGTCTTTGGGAGACATGAACAAGAAACATCTTTGTAACAAGTGCTTTCTAATAAAATAAAGTCTCCAATGCTCACTACAATCTTAAAAGGGAAGACTCTCTCTATACAAAAATATGATCTGATCACTCACACACAATGATGACAAGCACTGAAGAGAACTGAAATAATGAGGATGATAATAATGATGATGATAATAATGATGATGATAATGAAGATGATGATAATGAAGATGATGTAAATGATAATGTTAAATAAAAGTAAGCTGCACAAAAAAAGATTTCTTTTAATTCAATATCTTCACCAAACAAAGGATGGATGAAGAATTAATGAAGAATTCTAGTAAACCTAAGGCAAAATATGTTAACATTAACGATCCTTGTTAGATTCCGGGTGAGGAGGTCAGAGGTCACTATAGATATTATCTACATATACTTACATACAAGAATCCAATAGATGGGAATTCATTTTTGGTGACACAAAACTGTCATCTTGGATTCTAGAATCAGCCAGATAGTGGGGGCTTTGCCAGGGTAGTGAGTCTTCTGTTGTGTTAAAACTAGTCATATTACCTGGGCTTCCCTGGTACTGAAAAGTAAATAAGTCACCCAAAGATGAAACTTTTTCTTTATTTATCTATAATGGGCTGCCCACATCTGTCACACCTCATGTCAATGTCAACTGAGGGCCACAAACCTAACCCCTAAACCTCAATACCCAAATAATAAAATATTATCCTAACCCCTAAACCCCACTACCCATATAATCAAATATTCTCCTTATGCCTAAACTCCAATACCCATACAATCACATTTACCTAACCCCTAAACCCCAATACCCACACAATTGCATATATTCTCCTTACCCCTAAACCAAATACCCATTATTTAACAATCATAGATTCTCCTAACCCCTAAACCCCAATACCCATACAATCACACATAATCTCCTAACCCCTAAACCTACATACAATCACATAACCTCCTAACCCCTAAACCCCAATACCCACACAATTGCATATATTCTCCTAACTCCTAAACCCCAATACCCACACAATCACATATATTCTCCATACCCCTAAACCCAAATACCCATTATTACAATCACAGATTCTCTTAACCCCTAAACCCAATACCTGTATCATCACAGGTCATCAGGAAGAAATGCTTTCATTTCATACCGACTTTGATAAAATACAGATGACAGCAAAATGGTTGTGACAGCTGAACAACCCTACAGTAGAACCCCCCTCTCCCCCAAAACTGTGACATCCTCACCCAGAAGTCATCCAGACTTTGATACACAACAAAGCAGGACCTTCAATGGAGGCTAGTGACAAAATTCACCATGTGTATACAAAGGATACTGTTAGTAATGTAACCCTCTTGTAACACAAGTGTTCATAATATTTCTGTGTTTCACTGGCAACTAATAAAAAATTGTTTCCTCTGATTAGAAAGATTCCACTAAATTGTTTCTCAGATTGGCAAAATGTAATGTAATGGAAAGAGAATAAGTAAAAAGCAGATGGATTAAACTTAAACATGAAACATTCAATGCAAAAAAAAAAAAAAAATCAAAAACATGAAATGAAATAATTAAAATTCTGATGGGTGCATACCTGTCCATGCTGGAAAGTGCTCATGATGAAAATTATAAACCCTAGGCTTCAATATGAAGATAATGAATTTAGAAAATGAAAACATATGGCAAATTTTTCTCTCACTCACAGCATTAAGAAAATATACACAAAGATGATGAGTCTCATTCTGATTTAATAATACAATCTCCAGATGTTTTAAAAAACTCCTTGGCGAGTTTGGCCAGATGTTATTATTAGTCCCCTACCGGTGAAACCGGAGGGGACTATAGGTTTCCTCTGAGTCTGTCCGTCCATCTGTCTGTCTGTCTGTCCGTCTGTCCCTCTGTCTGTCTGTCAGTCTGTCCCACTTGGTTTTCCGCACTTTTTTCCTAAACGCTTGCAGATATTGGGCTGATTTTTGGTATGTGGGTGTATCTTGATGAGTTACAGATCAAGTTTGCATTTCGTCCCGCTTCATTGATTTTGGCATTTTCAATTCTTAATGGGAACCAGATTACACTTGCGGTAGGGGACTGGTATTGCTAATGCAATACTCTCAGAATGCTTGTTAAAAGGAGCTCAGTAATGTACCAGTACTCTTGTGTACTCATGGTGCTTGCTGTGGCTTCATAAATATAATCCATAGCAGTAAGCTTTACTTGTATTATATAATTATGGTATTATGATCAGATGTAATTGTGTAAATATTTCAGTTGATTTATATTTGTGAACTGTCCATAATTCATAGTCACTGTCATTTCTCGAAGATCAGATGAGATGTATGAGAAGACAGTTCTAATTACACTGCCCTCGGAAAGTTAGTCAGCAACTTTTAAATACTAATGAAAAGAGGTCAAAAAGACCCATCGGAAACATCCTCAATATCAATATGACCCAAATTCTACAACCTACTTGACTACAAACAGACAGATGATAAAGGAACCAAGTCAACATGCTCTCATGTATCCCTACATATATGTCAAACCTATATCAGATCTCTGATCCTGTTTACATTATGAACTGTGTCTGTGAAACACTGGAACTGAATCAATGTGATAGGTAACTAGTGCTAATTGTAACGGGAACCGTTACAGATGTTCCCCAAACGGCTCCCCAATCCCTTATGATGCCCCATTCCCTACAAGCTTCAATAAATTAGACAATACTTTTGTAATATAGATGGGCACTTTATTTTTAAGGGTCTTTCATTGGAAAACTACTCCGATATAGCCATATCGGTATTAGCCAATCAAATTTCAGCGCATGTGCTTGCACATGTTTTCTACATTTTTCACATTGATTTTCTTATAGTGTCTCACAATACATACATTTGTGTTAAATATTAAAGAATCTCATTGAAAAATAAGAGAGATGTAACATTTAAGTATTAGCCAATCAGAATTAGCATACGCGCATGCATGGCCTTGCATTCAATTTTGATAGTATCATAATGTAGGAGCTCTATGTGCCTATCCATGTCGTAAATTTCATCCTGTTTTGTTGAAAACCAAGGGAGTTATAGACATTTAAAGTTTCAACCAATCAGATTGCAGCACACCTACATGCGCGTGTTTTCAAGAAATTTCCTATGTAACATGTTGTAGCACCTTATAATATATACTTATATTCTAAATTTCAAAGTATTTTGTCAAAAAATAAGGAAATTATTGATAGTTTTGTATCAGCCAATCAGAGAAGGGCGCACCTGCATGCGCGTGAGTTCACGCTAATTTGACCATGTTATCTTGTCTAGACTACTAATATATCTTTATATTTTGAGTTTCAAAGCAATTCCTCAAGAAATTTAAAAGTTACGGCTTCATCAAGTATATCAGTCATTTCACTCATTGCACGCGCGCGCACGTGCATGCATGTGCGCGCAAAATGACCTTCGTTCCGAACACCTACACAACATGCCTATTAACCCTAAAAAGGTTTCATGTCAATCGGATGAGTGGTTCTATGAGAACACTCCCGGACAAAAAAGTACCGGAGAAGAAAGTAGAAAAAAAGAAAAATAATAATAATAATAATAATAAGAAACAGAGTAAAAACAATATGTTCCCAAACTTCGTTTGGGGAACATAAATATTGGGGGAAGTTTAAAATTTGACAATATCACAGAGAGTCTAACATTTGCTGAGCTTTGAATTAAAATTTTAAAATCAATGCCTACAGAGTCAATGCAAGAAATTTATCTCTTTGTTAGTTACATCTGGGATACACTCGTTCCTATGTAACTGTACAGCTGATTATCTACCTGTAAATAGCCACAAGGTCAGATTAATAGCACACCTTGTATCTCCTAGTTGTCAACACATCACCTGTACATCAACTAGATTACCCCAGCTCCACATTCACAGCCTCTGACTGTACAACAGTTATCTGAAACCTACACATTTTTTCAGGCACCTAATTGTTTAATTACTATTTTTTGGTTTTAATATATCCTGGTGACTAAGTGAAGTCCAAGGGAAATCTCCAATTGATAAGCAGGAAATATATTTGAATTTAAAAAGAAAAATAAAATATTCAAATTTACAGCAGTTTACACACTCAATAATTTTCTTCACAGTGCACCACCATGTTTAAAATCATAACGCTTGTTGTATAAATATCATCAAAAGTTCCTCTGAAGGTTCTAAATAAGAATAGACATAATAGTAATTATATTTAATATGTGTCAACAATGAAAAAAAATAACATCTCCATGAATTATTGGGATTTGGGACCAGATTGTCCCAGGTGATTTCAGCACATAACCTCCCTACACACAGTTTTTATGTTATTTATGTAACACAAGTCTGGCTTCAACCTGTCAATGTTGTCTCTCAGTGATAGTGATGTACTGGTAAATGGACAACCTCATTATATGGATGTTCTAACTGTCCATTATATGTCCACTGGTTATATACTTTAATTCCTCACTATCTATCTGGCCATGCACTTTGGGATTGAGAAATATTAGTTCAGCAAAGAATGTAGCAGCTTTTCAATGTTTTGGGGGATTCTTGAATTGTTAGACATTGTCACATGTATATATACAGAATATAATGTACTTGTTTGTGTGACCATGTTGACAAAAGAATTTGTTCCTCTGAATATTTTACACAATCATGATCAAGCAAGCAGAGCCATAATGTAAACATTTAACACCTCCCTTCTTACATAATCTTGTGGTGAATACTAATTTTAATGGTTTTCTTCAAACAAAGAAATGAACCAGATGATAAAATCATATTATAGCAAGTCATTTTTATAATGCATTATAAAAATGTTCAGCTATCTTGTTATTTACGACACATTCTCTGCTGGTTATCTACATCTCTGTGCATTTGTCATTTTTTAACATAACTGAACTACAATTTTTCTTTAATGCTTTACCTAGTTTGCCATTTAAATATTTTTGTATTATTCTGTAACATGTAACACAATCAAAGAAATATCAACACAAACATACAAAGAGATCCTCCAAACTCAGAACAACGTTTATATCGGAAGCAAAATCTGCCATATATATATTTACATACAGAAAACTTCTATCAAAACTTTCAATAATAGGTAAGACCCAAACTTTAAATGACACTTTCATAAATTTCCCTAGGGAAGCCAAACCACTTAAAATGAATGCGTCATATATTTCTTTGGGGGTTGTTCAATAAATCAACCAGTTTAAAAAGAAACTGCACAAAAGGTCTACCCCAAGTCTGTCGAACAGATTTTAAATTTCCAGGTATGCATGTTTATATATCTAGTTCAGGTAAGGCCGGCAAAAATAAGAAATAAAGGCTTTTACTGACACAATGCATGTCAATACAAATTTGGGCAAAATTAGTACTCTACGTACGACCACGTCCTGAACATGCCAGGGGCAGTACATCAAACCACTATTGGTTTATCTCTTAACTTAAACACAAGATAAATGTTTCATAAACTTGTCATTTTGAGTCACTTTCCAGATTTTCTATCATCTTAGTTCAGAAGCATTTTTTTGTCTTTTTATCTCTGTTGTTGATCAGTGTACACAAATGTTTTCTTTACAATTCAGCCTGAAGCATCACTGACCCCATCTTTGTTGTTTTAAGGTCAGTTTTTTTGTTATTCCAGATTTAATCAGGATTAACACATGTTGAATGCATACTTCAACAGATGATAGTCTTATAGGCTACTGTTTTTACATAATCACTGATAATAGATCTTATAATTAGCCTTTCACAAAGATTAGAAAACTTCTGTCTCCACCTAAGGGCACACCCCTCCCCTCTATTCTTACCTGTATAATGTACACACCCCTTCCCTCTATTTCTTACCTGTAAAAGATTCTTCTGCTCAGCTTGTAATTCCTGAGTTATTCTTTTAAACTGGACTTCCTGTAGAAACAGAAGATTACATCACTGTAAACTGTAAATTATCCACTCCATTCTGAACATGCTGGATTCTTTGTTTCCTGTCAAACTAATTAAATTAGGGAACTTTCATGCCGTGATTCACTGTATAAAAATTTGAACTGTTGGAAAGTTTGTTTCTACATAACACAATGGCCCAGTGTGCTATCTGACATCAGTAAAAAAGCTATCACCATTATTTTCCAATCATTCACATGTAACCTCCATTGTTAAACACAGATTCATATTACCCCTACTTGTATCAAGTCATGACACAAAGATTTTTTTCTGATAAGATATTTGTATAAATCATTCATTGACCAGGTATGTTTTCGGTAGGTGTAATTATATCTTGTGTAGGCCGATACCTTGTCATAATCCAGGGGGTCGTCAAGGGGGCATTCACACTGATAACAAAAAGTGTGTAAAAAAATATTTCAAGTTCACATTCTTTTAAATACATTATAGAATTTGACAAAAGGCATGTTCTTGATGTTATAAACAATTTTATTCCACTGTTTAAATACAAATAACCATTGATCACTGATCCACATCAAGCATTACCTATGATGTAGTGCACGTAAGAAAACCACGGAATATAATGACTCACTTTATAGATTCTCTACATAACATGGTCCTATAAATCTGGCTCTGAGGTACAGGAAGTACTTCTATAAATAATACCTGAGTATTCTGGCACATTGCATAATCATAAATATTAAATATAGGCTATTTAATGTATCCATTATACAAACCAAGGTGATGAAGGATTTGCTATACCATTAATCAGAAGGAAGGACTATTAAACATGTTAAATGTGACATGAAAAACTGAAATTTATGACAAGTCACCTACTAACATGGTTAATGAGGGGCTACAAAAGTTAAAGAACAGTTATATTAGGACATATTTAATTTGAACAATCATGTGATATTGTTTCATTTAAAATTTCAGCTGCTTTGTCACTGTGCAATTTGATACATGCAAAAATAAGCTTTCATTCATTGCAAATTTTTATCTATAACTTCTCATTCTGTTAGTATAACAAACAGATGTATAATATGGGACTTGCCTTAATGACCTCACTTATAAATTTCCAGGCAATATACAAACATATATATGCAATCAAACATTAATCCCCTCTCCCCTGCCCTCCCCCCCCCTCCCAAAAAAAATATATTAGCAGACTGGAGAATTCACCCTTTCCTTAAGTATCCCCTATACTCTCTTCTTACCTGAGCCTTCACAGATTCACCCCTCCCCTAGGTATCCCCTATACTCTCTTTTAACCTGAGCCTTCACAGATTCACCCCTCCCTTGCAGTGTTCGAAATTAGCGTCAACCCGTCGGTCCTGCGCCGACATACAAACGGAAGGACTCACGAATAGTATGACTAAATGGGTCCTTGAAATAATTTTGGGCCGATGATTTGCCGGGAAATAAGTTAACGTCAATCACATCTTCTCAGACCGTTGTTTTTCTTTACCGCTTGTTGGAAAGGCGTAAGAAGTTGCGATTAAAGTTTAGGTATATTGGTGTATGTATTTACATTAACTTTTATATCTTTCCTGCATTTTAACATGTTTAATTGGATATATTAAACAAATTAACCAATGAGCGTCTTTAAACCAAATTGCACTTATGATGGGCAAAACTTGTTATTTTTATCAAGATCGTATAATTTCTTCTTTCATGTGTATTTTAAATAAATACTGAAGATTTGATTTCTTTTCTGTATGGAATAAAGTTACGTTATATGTATGCGGTTACATTTTATCAACATATTGTGGCGATCTATGAAACCTGCGTAATTTTTTACCCGCGGATTTTAAAACACAAATTATATTTCTGAGGAAGAGTATGTATATAGTAATATAATTTAATTTTGGTTGTAAAGCGTCATTTGATTGGATAAAAAAATAGAAAATAGCGTATAACCTGGGTTGCCTACGTCACAATGACTTAAGTTAAAAACGTATCAAACCGCTTGACGTTACATTTAAAATACGTACAATTTAAGGGCATTTTTGAAGGAGAAATTGTTTTATTTTTTACACTTAATGATGGGAAATTAAATTATAAGGAATAACTTTAATAGCTACCCAAGTTATACTGGTATAACCTGGGTTGGAACAGTTTACGCTTTTTTATAAACCGCTTCGCGGTTTATAAAGCGTAAACTGCCCCAACCCAGGTTATACCAGTATAACTTGGGTAGCTATTAAAGTCATTCCTTAAATAAACACATGTCAAACTCATTAAATGTTATATATGACCAAGTAAGACAGTGTGATGATTAATATCTTACCGTTTCAAATTGTTAATACTTGCGAATTGTAGATACCCTTTATTAAATTGACATATTTCATATGAAGCGATAAACTTACCAAGATCATCGATACGTAAAAGTTTATTTTCCCAAAATATTTAATGGTATTATTTTTTGGCCTGCACTGCCCTGAAAGGACTCGTGTAGTCCCTTTATCTGTGGGTCCTTTGGACCCATAGAAAATAATTCTGAATTTCGAACACTGCTCCCTTGGGTATCCCCTTTACTCTCTTTTTACCTGAGCCTCCACAGATTCACCCCTCCTCTAGGTATCCCCTATACTCTCTTCTTACCTGAGAATTCACAGATTCACCCCCTCCTTTGGGTATCCCATAGTTTATCCTTACCTTCAGTCTTCACGGATTCATCCCTCCCCTAGGTATCCCCTATACTCTCTTCTTACCTGAGAATTCACAGATTCACCTGTCCTCTAGGTATCTCCTGTACTCTCTTTTTACCTGAGCCTCCACAGATTCACCCCTCCTCTAGGTATCCCCTATACTCTCTTTTTACCTGAGCCTCCACAGATTCACCCCTCCCCAAGGTATCCCCTATACTCTCTTTTTACCTGAGCCTCCACAGATTCACCCATCCCCTAGGTATCCCCTATACTCTCTTTTTACCTGAGCCTCCACAGATTCACCTGTCCCCTAGGTATCCCCTATACTCTCTTTTTACCTGAGCCTCCACAGATTCACCTGTCCTCTAGGTATCCCCTATACTCTCTTTTTACCTGAGCCTTCACAGATTCACCCCTCATCTAGGTATCCCTTATACTCTCTTCTTACCTGAGAATTCACAGATTCATCCCTCCCTTGGGTATCCCCTGTATTGTCTTCTTACCTGAGCCTTTACAGATTCATCCCTCCCTTGGGTATCCCCTGTATTGTCTTCTTACCTGAGCCTTTACAGATTCACCCCTCCCTTGGGTATCCCCTGTACTCTCTTCTTACCTGAGCCTTCACAGATTCACCCATCCCCTGGGTATCCCTTATAATATATCGGATCCTTACCTGAGCCTTCACAGACTTGAGTAAACTTGAAGACGATTCATTGCCTATAGTTCTATCTGGGGTGTGGATTGGTGTGTTCTGATAAAAACTGTCTTGGTCGTATGGACCCACAGGCATTGCGAAGTCACAGCATATGTCTCAGAGGTTCAGGGGAACCAATGTTAGCAGCAACCTTAAACACATAAAAACAAAAATACTAAGTTGGATGTGCCAGGATTGAAAATCAAGGCCAGGAAATGTCTGAAATCTTGACATGAAAAGGATTGTAATCCTGACTGACCAAGATTGCTTTATTATGAATTACTAGTATATACAGAAGACTTGGGGGTCTCTTGTGGCTTTCCATAGTATAGATACGGTACTCAAGGTACATACTCTGACATCAAAAATCACTATCATGAGAAAAGGAATTCTAGTAAGTCCAACTCTAAACAGTAGCACTGAGGCATAACAGTATGCTTATTTCTATATTGGTACAAATTCTAACCCTATCAGCGTAAAAAGCATGCTCAAAGACTTCCACATTTAATTTTGCATTCTATTTGCATAGTTTTGCATACTAATCTTTTGATTTATCTTATGTTGATATGTAAACTGTAAGGTTTGATATGATAAGATAAACTCCAATGGTGGTATTTGAAAATATCCTTATTTATTTTACTCAGGAACTCCATGTGATGCTAGTTGATACTGATCAGAAAAAGACATCTTCAACAAAAATACAAATAAGTACATGCATTTGGGGAGGTGGGGTGGGTGTGAGTGAGGGTGTCATTAAGTCAAGGACAAAGATCTAGGCTAAGGTCAACTGTGATAGCATTCTGTAAAAGCCTATATACATCCTAATTTACCCTAAGGCCAAACAAAAAAATATGTGTGGTTCCGGTTACACTTCCAAAAAAATTAGGGTAGGTAGGTAGGGATTTTTTTTTTTTTTTTTTTTAACAAAATGATTTTCTTAATTATTTCTAAATAATACCTATCACTGCTTTGCAAATGGCATTTAGATGTGGTGTGATAATATACTAGTCAATATTGGTAGGGGACATCTACATGCTAGCTTGCTTTGGATTTAACACTATTAAACACTTGCACTATGTTTTGCAAGGAGGCCGTCATTGCTGAAACCAATAAAACTTACGGAAATCGGGGGAAATTCTGGAAAAAATATGAAAATTGCCAAAAAAAAGTTTAGGGTCGGGGGTATAAAATAGGGAAGGTCGGGTAACCGGAACCATACATATTTTTTTATTTGGCCTAACCATGCTAACAGTATAAAGTTTGAAGATGTCCCCCACACAAAGCTTCTGTAAATGTGACAGCTAGGGTGAATTCACCATGCATCGGACACCCTCGTACTTCAACAAGTTCTAGCGATATCGCTACCGACCGAATATTATGAAAATGGAACTTAACATGTAGTATGTGGTTAAAATATAATTTTTTGACACAATCGTGCCCTATTTATTGAGAAAATATCATTAAAAATCTATTTTTTCAAAATAAGTCAGAATTCACCATGGATCGGACAATATTCACCATGCATCGGACATACGAAATTTAAACCAGAAAAATATCATACCTTGATCTCGGTGCTTTAAAATTAGTAATATCGAAACATTTTTATCTTTTATTTAAAAATTAACCTTCTAATTAAATTTGAATGACTATTTCGATCCACAAATGTGAAGAGATTTTAGTTGCATCACACTGCCTTAGAAAGGCTTTACAATGCGTCTTTGTCGCGTGGGTTATCGTCATCTAGTTTAAAGAAAGAAATAGAGTCCACTTCTAGTCGTCATATATCGATAATTTGTATTTTCACTGAAAATTTTGAGTTTCTATTTTCCAAATCCGTAAAAAACAGCTGTCATTTGGGTTTTATATGAAAGTGGAAGTGATTACCCATGCATCGGAAAGTGTCCGATGCATGGTTAATTTGTGTCCGATGTACGGTGAAATAAACATACTAGTTAAAAACAACTCTAAAAAATATTATACAAACACTGAAGTAAAATTTTTGAAAAATTTCTGTAAAATTATCAATCATTGATAAATTTTACCAAGGTCCGACCCGTTCCGTTGACGTCTATTTAAAAGAACGACAACTCTAAAAATTGCAAAATCGTAAAATTCTGGTTACTCCCCTTTGATGATGCAAAATATGACGTAATTTCAAGGCCATTCTTGTGGTATTTTTATCACAACATGAAAATAAAAATCGGCATCATTAAAAAGTTTAAATCTTCACCTTTAAGACCGAAACAAGTAAAAACACGGGGAAACTCGGGTTCAATGAAAGTGTATTGCTTAAAGTTGTCCGAAGCAAGGTATGTGTCCGATGCATGGTTAACTCACCCTATAGGTAAACAAAACACTTGCTGCAGAAGGAAAGAAAAACCAGACATATGTCAAATACAAAATTCCAAGTGTTTTAAAAGCTATCCATCAAAATAAATAAATAAAAATGTTATGTCAGATTCTCCACTGTGGCTAGTAACTAAGTGGGTCCCTATTAAATTCATACTCGGAATTGAGTAATATTTTCCCTCTTGCTGGCCTCTGACAGGAATGCCAATACTTTTACCTGGTTCCTGGTGAGAGCAGGGTGTAATATTGTACAGGGGTACATAACAAGAAAAGTAGAATTTAATAAAAGTTCATATCTTTTAATCAATTGTCAGTTAACCCTCATAACGAAACCACAGAATAACAGTTTTAAAAAATATTGATACTTCAAATCTTGAGACGCCATGATGAAACATGGCGTCCCAAAGGTGTAAACTAAATATTAATCCACTCAGATTAAGGCTGATTGAGTATCTAGGTATATAAAATATTAATGTAGACCCTATGATTGTAATATTTAAAATGTTTTTTGCAAATCGTGAAGCAATGCATTATGCTTTTTAGGATTACAAAAATGTCTGCATCATTTTCAAACAATGCACCGTACAGGTATTCAGCATGTCATTGACAGCTTCTGTTTAATTAGCAGAACAAAGATCAGTTGTGAATAAATCTCCAAATTACTTATCATCTGACAAAAACAAAGACTTACTTAAATCCTTTTAAATGTGCAATCTGGACACTTTCGAACAATATTATCCTTTTCGTACAGTGTTTGTGATTGGCTATTCCGATGGAAAAGATCACGCCCTCTGTTAAGTTGTATGATCAGAGGGAATAGGAGTTCTCTGCCCCTTGTACTACTAAAATCAAAGTACCATACGTACTCTTTAGGTCATTATAGTATATTAGAATACCTTTTTTTGTTTTTAACTGGCACGTTTTCCATCTCACCAACAGCCATCGTTTTATGAAAAGGGGATAACTGACAACTTTCTAAAGCATTGTTGACTAAAAAAAAAACAAACAAAAACAAAACAAAACAAAACAAAACAAAAAAACAAAAACAAAAACAAAAAACAAAAACATAACAAACAAACAAAAACAAAAAACAGGGACTGTATAAAATTCAAAAAAAAAAACAAAAAACAAGAAAAAATAAATAATTAAAAAAAAAAATCAAATCGGGGAGGGAAAAAAATTCAAATCGGGGAGGGAGATGCAATCGGAATCAAATGATCGTCCCCTAACCCCCCCCCCCTTTTTTTTAATCGAATCTTGAATACTTTGTTCAAGGAAATACAACCACTAACTAGGCCTATATATGATATGAAAGAAATTTTGCGCTTATGGTTTCAAAAACATCGTACTTATCAGACCCCGATGGCAGGTTAAAAGAGTGTGGATTCAAACATTCGTCATTTGAACTTATGTGTTTTAAAACCACCTGTTAGTAGTATACTATTTATAAAGCACTGGCATTCACCGACTATCCCTTCATGGCCGTAGGAACCGGGGGGGTCACGGGGGGGGGGGGACGCCCCCCCCCCCCGCAATAATTTTGCCGATATATAGATAACTATAGTTTGATGATCTTTTTTTTTTTTTTTTTTTTTTTTTTTTTTTGCTTGTCAGAAAATTTTTGGTAGTGCCCCCTCAACTGTCAACTGAAAAATGTATGGCTGTGCCCCCCCTCAAACTGAAATTGCTTCCTACGGGCCTGCCCTTACTGCATCTTCGATTGCCAAGGGTGACGATCCGCTCCTCTCCACATCTTCGCTAGCCAAGAGTGACGATCCGCTCAGAGGAGAGGAGCGGATCGTCACCCTTGGCTATAGCGAAGATGCTAGGGAGCCTACGCGTTAATATCACATACTTAATTGTGCCCCCCCCCCAATATTCATCCCCGGAGTTTATTGGACATTTCTTCAAAAAATATATTTATTACACGTATATTACCATACTGGAATCGGAAAAAATCGGGAAAAACTCAAAATAATCGTTCCATACAAAAAATATCCCACTTTACATTATAAGATTAAGATTAAAAGATTAGGATTATCTGATTCATTAACTCCAGATATTTAAAGACATTCTGGGTGTTCATAGAAAGTCATCTAATACTGCTGTTCTGTATGAGTTATATTAGTCGTTCTATATTGTCCGCTGCCTCGAGCTCTTTACTTCATCCTATGTATAAGTTGAGAAGTTATCGTTTATATTTTCACAAAATTTCCAGCATGCATTTGGAGGCGGAATTAAATTCGGGGGGAAAATCCAAGAAAAAGTACTCACTTTATACAAGTTATTCAAAATGATTGTTTTGAACGATTATAAGTTTGACACTACCGGTATGACTTGTTTCATAACTGGCCACGTAACACTTTATTGATTACTAGTAGCTCACCTTAGTCAAGGGCTCAAGAAAGCTTACCTGATTGAAGTGTCCAGGTCCGTCTGTTGTGTGTTGCCTGTATTTTTTTTTAATTTTTCAATTATTTTCCTCTCCTGAACTACTGCTCCAAATTCTACCAAACTTTCAATAAAGCATCCTTGGGTGAAGAGGATTAAAGTTCGTTCATTTGAAGAGCCACGCTCTCTTTATAGGGGAGATGATTAAGAAATAGTGAAAAATGGGGTCAGAATTTTCCATGTGAATAAAATGGGGAAATATTTTTGTATAGCTTCAAGGCCAAGGTTACTCAGGTGCGCATTGTGCTCCATGGGCCTCTTGTCCGAAAATATATAATTTTGCAAAATATATGTTGATGACATGATATAGTTACGATACCGACAATAAATTCATATTTTTAAAATATATATTTTGCTACTTTTTTATTTATGTGTGTGATATAGTTTGTAATGTACGAACTCCTACTACATTGGACTTGTGGGTTAACCTTTAGTTCTGTCAGTAGAGCACTGGACTGGCATGCCAGTTGTCACGGGTTCAATCCCAACCGAAGGCAAGAGTACTTTCCCATTACAATTTTTCCTTACTGCTAATATCGACAATATCGTCTCGATATCGAATCATGATCGTTCAGCAGATGATGTTTATTTATTGCCATTGTTATGTTTCTTTTATCATGTATGTGTTACAGTGTACCTAAAAAGAAGTTTTCTTTAATATCGATATCGTCTATATATCGATGATATTGTTTCGATAGGGAATCCTGCTACTTCTACTTCTTTTCCCTATATTTGTGTTTTTGTTTGAATACAATCTGTTTGTCTTCTTACCTTGCTGTCGACGTCGAAGATATCGTATCGATTTTGAGTCATTATTGTTCAGCAGTTGGTCGTTATTGCCTCGATCTATACGATATCGTTATGAAATTGTCAAGACATTGACAGTATCGACAAAGCTTCTGCTTTTTACACGATTTCCATTAATTTCATTTACAATGCATGGAGTATGATCGATATCGTTACTATATCAACGCGATATTATCGATATCGACATTGCACTAGGTGTATTCTTTAAATCCAAATACAAAAAGATCATATTCGATATCATTCAATACAATATTGTTTTTTTGTCCATATTGTTGAAAAGATAATATTTGGGCATGTTTGAATTCTGCGCCATCCAGAACTTGTTTTGATCTTGTACTCCATATTTTGTAGACGATACTAAATAAAGACTTGCAGATACATGTACTCGAGTCGTAGACCTACCGGTATCTCTTAATGAATAATGCTCGTGCATATATCTTGATATCCGTGATTCTGATGCCGTAACATCTGTGATTCTGATGTCCTGATATCTGTGATACTAATGTCCTGATATCTGTGATTCTGATGTCCTGATATCCGTGATTCTGTTGTCCTGATATCCGTGATTCTAATGCCCTGATATCAATGATTCTAATGCCCTGATATCTGAGATTCTGATGTCCTGATATCTGTTATTCTAATGTCCTGATATCCATGATTCTAATGTCCTGATATCTGTGATTCTAATGTCCTGATATCTGTGATTCTGATGTCCTGATATCTGTGATTCTGATGTCCTGATATCCGTGATTCTAATGTCCTGATATCTGTGATTCTGATGTCCTGATATCCGTGATTCTGATGTCGTAACATCCGTGATTCTGATGTCCTGATATCCGTGATTCTGATGTCTAACATGGCCAGTTACGATGAAAGTTATAAAAGAAAAGATATTGACTTTTACAAATCAGGCTACATTATATTTTACGTATCAACATATACTGAGACACCCTTTGCAACATCAGATTTTGATGTAGCCAAAAACTGGGGAGGGGGGGGGGTGTTAGTGATATTATAATTTTTTTATGTTATCTTTTGAATAACAAAAGGACAAGCATACACAGTCATTATAAAGGGATTTCTCAATTCATCAATCGTTCACTTTCTTTCTTTTTAGTACCGGTCAATGATTCACACACGTGAAATCTCAAAATTCTTAGCATCCTGATTATCACAAATAAGTGCTAATAAGAATATGAATTTCTGAATACATTGTAATGCGTTTAATATTTGGTGTCATTCGGTGATTATTTATCATGTATTATCATATATTATGATTAAGCCAGGTACTATAAATGAATGGGTCCGATTTTATATCTTATGTTTATATTTGATGAAAAGGGAGGGGTGGAGGGCTTAAACACGGAACGCAAAAAAAAAGTACAATGTAGCAAAACCCTGTGGTCGATATATTGGCTGTACAGGCGCACAAATAATAACACAAATTACAACCATGCTTGCCAAAATAATAATAATAAACATCATCATCATATTAAATAAGTAAATAAACTTCTCCCATTATAAAGGTTCAAAGTTGTAAATCTATGATAAACATAGAACAAAAATGAAGATAAAAATCTACCCGAATCTCGAATAAACTTTTGAACAAAGTGAGATATTTTATTTTTTACGTCAGCAGACAAGGAATCATTTGCGAATAATAAAAGATGAGCATTGACTATTGTCAAATGGTTATATTGTAGAATGTTTCTTAATAGGCCATTTCTTGGCTGTTCATATTTCTTACATTCAAAAAAGAAATGATATACATCTTCAATATGTCTGCATGAACAATAATTATTAGGTGAATCTATTATATTCCTTCCATATAAATCATAATTAAGTATACAATTATGTCTTAATTTCGTGTGAATTATATTCAAATAGCGTTTCCCTTATGAAAAGTGCAAAGGCAGTTTAGAGGGATGTGAGCATATTCTTTTTTACTAATAGAAGTTTCTTCTCTTACCTCTCGTGTAAGGGAACTTAAATTGATAATGCTGAATAAGACTAATCTCTAAATTCCATTAACATTAATGATAACTCTGTCCTTATACATGTAACATGTAATTAACGTAAATTGATAGTCAATTTTTAAAAAAAACAGAACTATATAAATTCAAATTGAAAATCCGTAAAAATCTCTGATTGCTTTCAAATTTTATATTTCAAAAATATCAATGCTTTCACATGAATTTTATTCATATTGCATTAAGAATCTTTCTAGATTCGTACGGCCCTAGAATGTTTTTGTTTGTTTGTTTTTTGGTTTTATTTGTTTTTTGGTTTTATTTGTTTTTTGTATTTATTTTTTAAATAAATTAAAATCTAACATGTACAAAAATCTGAGAAAAATTCTCTTTTTATGTACAAAAATACGATTTTTTTTAAATCTGCGAATTTCTGCGATTTTTTTCTCGACACAATGCACAAAATATATACACCGTTCTGAAATCGAGCCCCTACGTATAAGCGGAATTAATTAAATTATTAGTTACTATGAATTTGCATTCATCAATTTGGAAAATTTTGTGATCTCGAAGTTGCATCGGCAAAAGTATTAGCTGAATAAATGTACTTTTGGAACATAGAAATACGATATTTTTGAAAAATTCTAATACCGTAATCAAATTAGGTTTGGGGTTGCTTATACGCCGGTTCTAACCATACAGGAGTCATTTTAACTTGAAACCGTTGGTTCTGACTCTCCTGTTAACGGAGGTAAATTTTGTATGAATTATGCCACCAAATACGAAAACTCGGAAGCAACCTTTGAAGAATCATAAATAAAACATCATGTAGACAATTACTAAATAGATGTGAACATGGATGACACAGAGAGAAAAGAACGTGGAAGTTTTCCAGATAAGGTTAGTTGGGAAATGACTTTTTACAGTAGTCGAATCACGATGGAAGTGTTTTGGGTATTAAAGACACAGCTTTAGGCCATTGGCATTCCCCAGCTTAATAATAATATTGTTAAAGAAAATTATATTTACATATGTTTATAGCATAGAAAATATATATTTCTTCAACAATTAAGCTAGGGAAGGCCTATGCTCTAGTCTTGGATGTTTTATTATAGTCATGATAGTTGATTCATGCTCGGATCTAGAGAGGGGGGGGGGTGTTCGGACGGTGACCGGACCCCCCTTCCCCTCCTGGAATTTGCAGAGGTATTTAAGTATAGAAAAATTAACCTCACTAAAAGTTGATAAAACTTGTTCTTTAAATTTAAGATGTGGATATTTAAATTCAAACCTAGCTGCAGAACTGTAGCTCTCTGCTTGAGAAAATTCGGACAGATAAAGCAGAGAGCTACAGATCCAAGCATTGTAAAAATCTTCGATTTACGCCGCCGCTTTTTTGTTGCTCGGTTCGGCTATTATTTCTTGTATTTTGTGCTTTCCCCCGCTTTAGGAATGGTATCAGATAATTTGCAATATATTTTACTCCTATTCTTAATACTTTATTTACCTTTCAATGGTCCCAAACAGTCCTTTATGGTTTTGGAATGTGGATTTAAAAAATTCCCAATCAGTCGACGTCTATGTTGGGGGTCGTGAGAAAAAAAAAAGACTTTCAAGGAACATACACTTGCCGAGAAAATGTAGATAAAAATTTCAGATATCATATATATTGACTATAAAGAAGACAATGTATGTATTTAAAAAAATTAGATAAATAAAGCTCGGGCGTGATACTTTAATAGGATGATACCAACATGGACAGTGGACGTCGACGGAATGGGAATTTTTTAAATCGACATTCCAAAACCATAAAGGGCTGTTTGGGACCGTTGAAAGGTAAATAAAGTATTAAGAATAGGAGTAAAATATATTGCAAATTATCTGATACCATTCTTAAAGCGGGGGAAAGCATAAAATACAAGAAATAATAGCCGAACCGAGCGAAGGTTTTTACAACGCTTGGATCTGTAGCTCTCTGCTTTATCTGTCCGAATTTTCTCAAGCAGAGAGCTACAGTTCTGCAGCTAATTCAAACCTAGTTTTTAGGGATTTCTTATCTGAAATTCTGACCTTTTGTGAATAAAGGTTCTTTTTCTAATCTTAAATAAACAGTGAATCTACATTTCTGTCTTTGAAAGTCCACAATTTTGTAATCATGGTAATAAGAGTTTCGCGAAAGTGAAAAATATGTTTAAAACAATGTATTTTTATTTTTAGCCTACATCAATTGAAGATTTCGTTTTTCTGAAGCCTATCAGCAGAGGTGCCTTTGGGTAAGAATTAAGGGATTCAAAAAGTATTTCACTCGGTGTATTCCCTTATAATTTCATTTCACCTCAACTTCACAATGTTGTTTCTAAGTTTATCATGTTTATAATATGCATTCATCAATTTTGAATATTAAGTAAACTACATCTGCATGTACATGAATATGTCTGTAATACTATGCGTGATAAGCAGGAAGAGATAACAATGTATGTAACATACATTATTTATTGTTTTTAATGGACAGAATTTACTTGCTAACAGATAACATGGATAAATAGATAACATTAAAGTTTCCCTTTGTTTTAAATAAAGAGACATTTTTTTTCTTTTACAAGGAAAGTGTTTCTTGGACACAAGAAAAATCAAGACGACAAGAAATATGCCATCAAAGTGATGAAGAAGTCCGACATGGTTAACAAGAATCTGGTGAGCCAAGGTAAAGAATTTATAGACTGCGGAGAAAAATAAAACATACTTAAGGATAGCTGTGTAACTGATGTATTAGTTTATAATAAGTACCTCACTTCAATGAAGGCTTTGTCATTGTAATGATCCCAGTAAAACTAATAAGTCATGTTGCATCATGTACTTGGAATATCTTTCTGTTTGGTAGTATTTATCTACAGGTACAAGCATCGTCTCAAGCCATGGTCAGGCTCTTTCCTATCAGTATGGGATAGGAGAGGATCATACATTTTGGCCATGGTTTGTGACGATGGAGTACAGGCACTGGTCATCAATATTTATTACACAAATAAATCCCACTAGTCTAATGTTCCTGGCTACATATCTTATATCCTCGAGTTCAGTGTCTTTGCAATTATGATCATGATGATACATCAAAAACTAAAACAAGCTTCACAAGTCACAACTTTCACAGCCATTGGGTATATGACAAAGCCCAACATTGTCTTTAACATTCAAATCTGGACCAAGATTAAAAAATTAACAATTTAGGCATGTTGATTTTTTATCAGGTCATTATAAAAGTTATCATTGTCAATGATACATTTATAAATATTCAAGTTAGACTTTCTGATTTTAAATTGATATTTATTGAAACTGATTTTCAAATTGAATTGCCGTAAACGTGCAAGCAATGATAGCAAATATTTTTAAACCCGATTTTGAAATCTTCAGAGATCAAGGTTGCCACTATATTCAATGAATTCTCCATAGATGTAAATTAAAATAAGTTTGCATACATTATTTTAACTTGTGCAAATTGTATTCTGTAAACGTCTTTAATTTCACATATCTAATATTTCACGATTTCCTATGTTGATACATTTCACGATGGTTTTAATTTCACGGTCACTGAATTTCTCTTTACTATTTATTTGCAATTTTATTATTATTTAAAATAAATCACGGGAAATTATTTAATATAAACATACCCACTAACTAACTTTTGCCGCCTTGTTATTAATAATTTCAATGAATATTCTATTTTACCATCACAAAATATAAAGACAGGATTTAAAAGTGTATGAATAGTTGAATGCTACATTGATTTGTCAACGATATTCACAATGGCTTAATTTTTGCGGCAAATTCTTTTATTGCGAACATAGTGAAATTAAATACACCGCAATATATTTCACTTTTACAGTATATTGTGTTATATTTCAGTGTTAACAGAGAGAGAGATGCCTTAGCTTTATCCAATAGTCCATTCATTGTTATATTGTTTTGTATTTCAGTGTTAGCAGAGAGATGCCTTAGCTTTATCCAATAGTCCATTCATTGTTATATTGTGTTGTATTTCAGTGTTAACAGAGAGAGATGCCTTGGCTTTATCCAACAGTCCATTCATTGTTATATTGTGTTGTATTTCAGTGTTAACAGAGAGAGATGCCTTGGCCTTATCCAACAGTCCATTTATTGTTATATTGTGTTGTATTTCAGTGTTAACAGAGAGAGATGCCTTAGCTTTATCCAATAGTCCATTCATTGTTATATTGTTTTGTATTTCAGTGTTAGCAGAGAGATGCCTTAGCTTTATCCAACAGTCCATTCATTGTTATATTGTGTTATATTTCAGTGTTAACAGAGAGAGATGCCTTGGCCTTATCCAACAGTCCATTTATTGTACATCTTTACTATTCCCTGCAGTCTCAGAACAACATTTTCCTGGTAAATATTAATACATGTACATGTATGTGTGACAGTATGCATGTCACAGTTTTCTTTATCTTATTTCATCTTATCATGTCTAGGAATTTCTCACAAACATGATATTTATTTATGAAGTATAAGATATTCACATATGTACTTTGGAATGTTTAATGTGTTAAAAGTGAGTAACACATGTACATACTAGGGACTGATATTAATACTGAAGGAACTAGAGGGTAGGAGTGTAAGTTGTATAATAAGGAAACTAATAAATGTTCTATATGTATTCATATCAGGTCTTTATTTGTTTTATAGATTCTTGAAAATATGTTTCACATTTCCTAAACTGAACTGTTTCAAAATGTGAATGATGTTACATATGTATCAGGATAAAAGTTTCTTTGTTAAAAATTTGATCTATTTTTTATTAATTTAATGATGTACTAACAGATAATGGAGTATTTAATTGGTGGCGATGTTAAGAGTCTGTTGGCAGTCTATGGTTATTTTGATGAAGAAATGTCTCGGATTTATGCGGCAGAGGTTACCCTGGCTCTGCAATATCTACATTCCCATGGAATCATACACAGGTATGTAAATGATTTGCAAGTGTGTAAATGACCTAAAAGTGTTTGAGTTATCTGTAAGTTAGTTATCCAAAGGTGTATATCAATTTACAAGCATGTGAGTTATCTACAGATGTGTGAATTATATACAGGTGTTTGAATTTACTGCAAATGTGTTAAATAAATTAAAGACTCATGTCTGCATTTCCAGCTGGTATTTGAGTTGTCCACAGGTGTGAGAGGTATGCAAAGGTGTAGGTATTTGAGTTCTTTACAGGTGTGAGAGTTATTCACAGGTGCTGCATTTATCTTCAGTTGTGTGAATTATACTACAATATCTACATTCTCATGGAATCATACACAGGTATATAACTACAATATCTACATTCTCATGGAATCATACACATGTATATAAGGCCAAGATAAATAAATAGTGTGTTTCCTATTCCAACCTGAGAAAAAATAGGGTAGATAGGTAGGGAAAACATTTTATTTTATTTAAATATTTTATTGGCAAGGGAAATCGCTGTCAAAACATTTTTGATTAATGTGTATATAATATGCATTTTCTGAATCACGAAAGTGATGGAGATTAGGATTTTTAATAGTGAAACTGGAATAGTTTACTCCTGGAAAGATATCTGCGAATAAATTTTTTAGGGTCGGCTCATATATTTTAGGGTCAGACGGGGAACCGGAAACACACAATTTATTTATCTAGGCCTAACTGATTTACAAGTGTGTAAATGATCTATAAGTGTTTGAGTTATCTGTAAGTGAGTTATCCAAAGGTGTATAATTTACAAGCATGTGAGTTATCTACAGAGGTGTGAGTTATACACAGGTGTTTGAATTGACTGCAGATAAAGACTGGTGTCTGCATTTCCAGCTGGTATTTGAGTTGTCCACAGGTGTAAGAGTTATGCAAAGGTGTAGGTACTTGAGTTCTTTACAGGTGTGAGAGTTATTCACAGGTGCTGCATTTATCTCAGCTGTGTGAATTATTTGTTTTGAAGTTATCTGCAGAGTTATCCCCACAATAAAAATTCAGAGAATGCTGCTATTAGAAATTAAATTATTCTTTCAAAGCGTATTAATATTTAACAATATGGTTATGTATATTTGTGCTAGTCTTTATTTAGTTAGTATTTTGGTATAATTAACAGGGATCTGAAGCCTGACAACATGTTGATCACCAGTAAGGGGCACCTGAAGCTGACAGATTTTGGACTCTCTAAGATTAACTTGGATGACGGTAAGTATGGAGAGAGGGGGTCATCTGTTATTTTATTTCCTTATTCACACTAGTGTTCTATAGCAGAAGCGTCACTGATCATTTCAAATTTTTATTGATTTCAAAGATAAATAGTTTTTATTTTAAAAAATCACAATGTGTATTTAACTTTAAAATTCAGTTGGCTGGTTCTAGTTTATTTTAACACTTTGGAAACTTGTCTAAGTATCCCTAGAAATTCTAGTGGTATTTCTCATTATCTCCCAAGACAAAAGAATATATTATATATATACAATACGATTCAAATGCCCAACATTGATAGAATTTACATTTTGAACAGCTCAGTGGATACATGTATACATTCCCAACCATTCATTCAGTCTTTCTGTGGCTTTTCTGATGTTACATTAACATATCTTTGCTAGAGATTTTGTATCTTTTTATATTTTTTTGAAACGATGAATTGCAAAAACACTTTTTGGGATCCCTCAACTGAAATATGCTCTCAGCATTTATTAACCAGTGAAAAGTTAGTTTTGGAATTTGTAGTTATATTTTCAAATAACCATTTTGTAGCAATTTATTGGCACAGAATTTTGAGATCATTGCTGAACTTGAAGAAACTAAATAGTACATGTATATAGATATACTGGGTAGTTATAGCTAAGATCATGTATATAAATATAGATGTTCTATTTATAGGAAATGGCTTACCAGAAACACACACAACCCCCCTCCCCTACAGTAAAATGTGTATAAGATATATATGGATGTTCTATTTATAGGAAATGGCTCACCAGTAACACACACCACCCCCTCCCCTACAATAAAATATGTATAGATATATATGGATGTTTTATTTACAGGAAATGGCCCACCAGAAACACACACAACCCCCCTCCCCTACAGTAAAATGGCTGGTAATTTGAGGACACCTGGTCAGATATTGTCACTCAAAAGTAACCTAGGATTTGTAAGTAATAAACATATAACTGTTGTAGTTGTACAAACATATGGACTTTAGATTTACTTGTACTTTAAAACATTTCTTTTTTGGTCAGATTATGGTCTATCTGATCATTGTCTATGGATTGATGAAGGAAATTGTTTGGGAGAACAAAAGTCAGAAGCCTATAGGGTCGGCATTAAATTTATTCCTATAGAAACCATTTCCCATGGCTGTTTTTTGATGTGTTTTCAGGGTACAGAAATGTAAAAGATTGTTTATTTAAGGGGAAATAAGAAAGTAGATTTTTAGGCAAACGAAACATTTTTATAGGTATCAAATCGGTGATTATCTAACTGTGTATTTGATGAAGGAGTTCTTGATCATGTTGATAGGCAAAGTTAACAGTTTTTGCATGACTTTAATTTTTTACTTGGTTCTACAACAGATACACACTCAATAAAACATTCAGATGATATCCATTTATTCTTTTTCTGCAAAATAAACAACAAATACATATGCAGAAAGTAGTCATTTACCCATTCTTACCATTTAATTAACTAAATTGATAGACACTGTAACTGTCCGATTATAATCGTTGATTAGTTGGTTACAGTAACCCGATCATCGATTATGAAATTCTTACCAATTCCCATCACTAGTAAGTGTCAAATCTCAATGGAAAGGTCAAAGTTGGAAATCCGACCTCTATTAAATGGACACTGTAAATACAGTTATTACTGTATCAATAGTAAACTTGTCCTTGTATACTTATGAATTATCTCTGATTTTGATTTGTTTATTTATGTTTAAAACAATCTTAAGCTGGATTCTGCACAGACAAATAAATTATTTGACGATTCTTTTCATCTCATGCACAATGTAAATTGTTTTCCATAACACTTAGTTTATTTATACTTTCTATGGCACTTAGTTTACTTATACTTTTTAAATTAAAATTTAGAGGTCCGTTTGCGCAGGGCCAGCGTATAATCATCAGGTTTGATGGAACGCTGTACTATGTAGATGTAGATGTAGATCTCACTGAAATAGTTTCAAACTACACTATCTTATAGTGAATTGATGCACTATGTAGTGACTTGAATTAGACATATTCTTTTTCTGACTTCAGAATCTTCGTTCCATAAAGAAACACAAACTGAGCTCCTTGTTGGAGGAGAGTGGGTCACCAAAGTCGTTTGGTTCCATTAAATCCCTCAATTCACCATTATGTCAGTCTTCGGCCAAACCAATGTCACTACGGGACAGAGTGGTCAGCCAAAGCACCATGGCTAGGGTTACCCCACCCATCAAAAGCCTGACCCCCACCCTCCAGGACTCCCTCAACTGGAGTCACTCTAACCTGAGTGAGTCCAGCCACCTCCACATCGAGTCTACTCGACTGTCTAGTTACCACAGTCAAAGCCATTCCCTGCCCATGCTGAAACTGTCGGCTATTGAGGAAAATAAAGGTTCCTCCATAATGTCTTGTGAAGAGAGTGTGTTTAATTCAAGTGTGGAACTCTCTGTGTCTGCAAAGAGTGGTGACTCTGTGTTTGACCCTTGTCAGTCAGGACATCACAGTTGCCATGGTGATTCCTTAACAAACCATTGTGGAGAAGGACAGGCTGGTTGTCATGGCAACTGTTGTAACAGTCATTTGAAGGTTCCATCACGACAGGAGAGTATTCTGGATGATACGCCTCAGATGCATCGGACGGACGAGTCTGTCTGGAACTCGTACGCAGCACGGAATCTACGCTCCATGCGGTACGGATCGTACTCGGAGGACAGTGATGAGGAAGACAGTGTAGAATCTGATACAAGATCAAGGGGTAACTCCTCAACTAAGTATCCAACAGAGGGACAGGATCTGCATGTTAAAATGCAACCAAGGAACTCTACCAAAAAGAAAAGAGAACTAAATGTAGAGAGGAGGGGGGCTGAAATGTCGGGGAGTGGATCCTATAGCTACCACTCAGACGAGGAGACAGATATTGAGATAAACTCCATGAAGAAAAATCCAGATCGGAAAAGGAAATTTTGTCTGATGGACACGAGTCCTGCACTTAAACAGATTTATCCCCATAATTCTGGACTGACACAAGACATCAAGGTTCTAAATCTGTTTGGGGATGAACATCGACTCAAACGGCAGCAGATGGAGGGAGCTGGTGACTTCAGTAGGAAAAAATCAGGGAGTCTAAGTCACAACTGTAATCACAGAGATGAAAATAATCAGAAAATCTTATCTCCTGAATTACATACCCCTGGTAATACACAGAATGATCACACAAACAGAAGTACTGTAAAAGTTTTAAAATTCACAAGTGGAGAGGAGACATATGTTACCTCCCTTGAAAATGGATTCATTTCCTCTGAAAAACTGGTTTCCTCCCTTAAACAGGTTAAGACAGCAGAGGAATCATCGCTAGTCATGTCTGGGATTCATCAGTTCAACTCCAGTGACCTCAGCGACAGCTCTCCAGAGGCCAATGAGGTCAAAGGAAAAGTCAGGGAGGTCAAATCAATATTCATTATTATAAAACTAAGAAATTCTTCTCAGTTAGGATGTATGTGTATAAAAGAAATGCTCTGCTTCCTATATTTGTATTTGGTTTTTCAAAAATTACAAGCAAAATAATTTCTTTTCACCCTGAATTCAGAGGCAATGAGAGGCTTATCATTCATTTTTTCTGTTTCATGTTTTTTCATTAGTAATCTTTATTCCATTGATAACTTTGTGGTATGAACTTGTTACAGGAGAGAGTGACAACTAAGGAGGTCCACTTCCGATTTCTGTCCCAGACGTCAGTGGACAGTCTACCCTCGTCCCTGGCCCCTGTACCAGCCACACCAGAACCAAGGCAACGCAAGGTTTGTCAGCTGTCAAGTTTAGAGTTGTAACTCATAGACTTCTCGTTTATTCACTTAAAAGCTAGTGAAAAATGACACAGTGAATTTCAAACATATGATGTATTGATACATTTATGTCATTTAAGTCATTTATGTGAATTTTTAAACATAATTCCACATGAGTGGCCAATTACGGAAAATGTTCCATTTTTTAAAATTAAATAATTAAGCTTCAGCTATTTTCAACCAAATGTTTGTTAAAACCGTTAGTAATCATTTTCTCAGTAAATTCAAGTTGTCCTCATTTGATATGTACTCAGTAATATCAGTGCATAATTTTCATTTTTTTAAAAAAAAAAAATGTTTTTTTTTCCAATGATTTTTTGATCGCAAAGATCAGTAGGAATGCACAATCAGAACAGAAACACTCATTCAAGAATAATTTATTATTATTCTCATCAACTGTTAGAATATCTTTAAGATAAAGTGAGAAATTTTCCTTCACAGAGAGGAGAGTTCCAGACCCCATGTACTCCAATGTCAGCCATGAAAATAAGTCGCCACCCAGGGACACCATTCATACCTAAGACCCCTGCTAGGCAGATGGTACAAACACCCTTTATCTCAAACTCCCCTGCTCACCAGATCATGGGGACTCCTGCAGGTCCAAGGACTCCAGCCACCAGAAAGACACCTTTTAAAACGCCGCGAAGTGTTAGACGAGGCCCAGCTCCAGTAGATGAAGAAGACCGCATTCTAGGGACACCAGATTATTTGGCCCCAGAAATACTACTCCGTAAAAAGCATGGTAAAGTATAGCATGTTGACTCTATGTATTCTTGGAAGAACAAACATTCTGTGTTTTTCTGGATGCCTTGAAGAATAATTTTTTTAGAATGTCATATATTATAAGAAGCAATGAAAGAAATAAGAAAACAAAAGACCAAATAATCTAGCATAGTTAAAAAAGTAGGAGAGTAGAATTGTGTTCTTTATTACTATTCTTTGAACAGCAGAATGTCATATTTGATGTTGATTAACCAATTCCATTCTCTCTTTGAAAGACGAGGCAGTAGATTGGTGGGCATTGGGTGTCTGTCTGTTTGAATTCCTGACCGGTGTCCCTCCATTCAATGATCAGACCCCAGAGCTGGTGTTCCAGAACATCCTCAATAGAGGTCTGTCTTAACAAGATCAAAGCATGTCATATCATTAAGTTAATTTCTTTCTTTGGAGTTTATAATTATGATGTCACTTAATACTGTAAATCACTTTTTATTCACAAGAAATTTATTTTTGCATAATTACGCGAGACAGTGTGGTCGCGAAAATTTCATTCTCACGTATATTAGTATTCCTAAAGATTATATACAGCAACAACAGCAATTCATGAAAATATTGTCTCAATAGTTAAGGATAAATGACTATCTTGCAATAATAAGGTGTCACGAAAATTTAGTGATCCACGGTACATGCCTATTGTATTGACCTCTAACAGAGATGTATATATTGTAGATATTCCTTTGTATTGACCTCTAACAGAGATGAATATATTGTAGATATTCCTTTATATTGACCTCTAACAGGGATGTATATACTGTAGATATTCCTTTGTATTGACCTCTAACAGGGATGTATATACTGTAGATATTCCTTTGTATTGACCTCTAACAGAGATGTATATACTGTAGATATTCCTTTGTATTGACCTCTAACAGTGATGTATATATTGTAGATATTCCTTTAGATTGACCTATAACAGGGATGTATATATTATAGATATTCCTTTGTATTGACCTCTAACAGGGATGTATATACTGTACTATTCCGTTAGATTGACCTCTAACAGGGATGTATATACTGTAGATATTCCTTTGGATTGACCTCTAACAGAGATGTACCAGTATATACTGTAGATATTCCTTTGTATTGATCTCTAACAGTGATGTATATATTGTAGATATTCCTTTAGATTGACCTATAACAGAGATATATTGTAGATATTCCTTTGTATTGACCTCTAAAAGAGATGTATATGTTGTAGATATTCCTTTGGATTGACCTCTAACAGAGATGTACCAGTATATACTGTAGATATTCCTTTAGATTGACCTCTAACAGTGATGTATATATTGTAGATATTCCTTTAGATTGACCTATAACAGAGATATATATATATATTGTAGATATTCCTTTGTATTGACCTCTAAAAGAGATGTATATATTGTAGATATTCCTTTGTATTGACCTCTAACAGAGATATTTATTTTGTAGATATTCCTTTGTATTGACCTCTAACAGAGATATATATATTGTAGATATTCCTTTGTATTGACCTCTAACAGAGATGTATATACTGTAGATATTCCTTTGTATTGACCTCTAACAGAGATGTATATATTGCAGATATTCCTTTATATTGACCTTTAACAGAGATGTATATATTGTAGATATTCCTTTATATTGACCTCTAACAGGGATGTAAATATTGTAGACATTCCTTTGTATTGACCTCTAACAGGGATGTATATACAATGTATTGTAGATATTCCTTTGTATTGACCTCTAACAGAGATGAATATATTGTAGATATTCCTTTGTATTGACCTCTAACAGGGATGTATATACTGTAGATATTCCTTTAGATTGACCTCTAACAGAGATGTATATTGTAGATATTCCTTTGTATTGACTTCTAACAGAGATGTATATATTTTAGACATTCCTTTGTATTGACCTCTAACAGGGATGTATATACAACGTATTGTAGATATTCCTTTGTAGTGACGTCTAACAGAGATGTATATATTGTAGATATTCTTTTGTATTGACCTCTAACAGAGATGTAGATATTCCTTTATATTGACCTCTAAAAGAGATGTAATAAATTTTAGATATTCCTTGGCCTGGGGAGGATGAAGAACCATTATCTGAGAATGCCAAGTCAGCCATTGATGCACTGCTGACAATGGAACCTAAAGAAAGACCCAAAGATAGAGGTAACAGGGGGTTTTTTTTAGAGATCACTGGGGACCTGTATTCTGCCCAATTCCCATTGGTAAAAAGTATGTGATTTTCCCAATTTCATAAAAAAAATCCAATAGATAATCAAAACAAACAAATATGGTTTAAAAAAATGACTGAACTCAGTAACATGTATATCAGAAATGGTGTTAAAAAAAATCTAAAAGGCATGCTCCAAAAACTGATTAACTGAATGTAAAATATGTCAATTAATACCTTGCAAATGAAAAAAAAAAACAACCAACCTCCTACTTGAATTTATTTAGAAAAATGTTAAATATGATATTTTCCAATTTCAACCAAATGTTGCTTTTTTCTCAAATTGAAAGGTTCAGGTCCTTGATTTTAAGACCCCCCCCCCCCCCCCCCCCCCCCAAAATCCTGGGTAAGTACCTGTTGGTAACACTAAACCCAAAGGGGTATAAGATCAGCAGATTGATGAAAAATACCTCATGTTTTAAAAAAGATACTATACTGTAGAACAAACTAACATAAGTGTAAACTTTTTAACTGCTGCAAAATTACCCCAATGTGAATGATTACTGTAAACCAACTTTTATTCGTGTGCGAGAAATTTTTGCGAGTTTCACGACCTACTTTAACTCTCGAATATTTATCGCCGCGAACCAATTATTTTGCTTTGTATTTGTAGAGAATGTTAACTCAGTCACGAAAATTAATTGTCGGGGATTGATTTCAAACTGACGATTCGCGAATAAAAGATGACGCGAATAATAGTTGGTTTACAGTACCTCAATAGATTTCTTTAGCAGTGACTTTTACATCTATGAAACATACGATGACGTACATAATAATAATACAATATTTACCATACTTAATCCTGCTTTATATGATTATTTATATAGACATAAACAATAAAAAGTATTTCTTTTGTTGTAAGTGTGGGGGGTAATGTTGCAGCTTTTGCAGAAAAGTTTACATAACCCACTCACAAGATATGTTACATAACATCACCTGCTTATGAGAGTTATGTTACATATCATAACCTGCTGAGGGTTATGCATTTTTTCTGCAAAAGCTGCAATATTATTCCCCACACTAACAACCAAAGAAATACACTTTATTGTTTAAGATGCACTGGAATACTTATATATGTACCATGGGTAAAGTGTACATTAGATTTGCTGAATGTGTCATTATGGATTGATCAGTAATTTTTGCGTCCATTATAGAGGTGAGGAAGCTGGCCTTCTTTGACTCTGTGGATTGGGAGAACCTCCTGGAGGTAGAACCCCCCTTTGTCCCCCAGCCTGAGGGAGACGAGGACACAACTTACTTTGAAGGTCAGTAAGCTTAGTAATCTAAGAAAAAGAATTCACAACTGGTCTGTGGCCTGAAAAAAAAAATACAGTAAAGTTATTGGAACACCGTACAGTGACTGAAGAAATGTATTAACATTACACTGGATTAGCACTGTACCAAGATTGTGACAATGTCATTATATGTTGTACAGAATTAAAAAAGTTACGGAGGTTATTGTGATATAATTGTTCATCATACAGTTGAACTTCGGTATCTAGAACATGGATATCTCGAATACCATGGATATGTCAAAGTGATTTTACCCTGGATATCTTGAATCCTTGGATATCTCAAAGTTTTTTGTCGGTCCCATTGAGTTCGAGATAACGAGGTTTGACTGTATTACACTAATGTTACAGAGCAACAGAGATTCTAGTCTTAATGTAATGCTGGTATTACAATTCTACAGACAATGTACTTGTACAATATAAGTTACTGATTCTCAAATATTCATATGATAAAATGATATAACAAAGTTACTGGGATTGTAGGAATTTAGTCATATTATATTTAAAGTGGACACTTCTAAAAAATTCTAATTAATATTTTTTCATTTATTTTTATGAGTAGTTTGAAAATAAATGCAAAAAGTTGAAATATTTCCTTTCATATACTAAAGATAACAGAGATTTCATGGAGAGGACTTATGTAGGCAGTGCCTGCTGTCCAATCCTATTATGATTATGCATAATAAAATATTGTTTAAATTAAATTAACAGAGATTTCTTTGAAAAAAAAAGAAGATTTTTCATTCTCCTTTTTTTTCAGCACGGAACTCGCAACAACAGCTGATGGTTTCTGGTATAGATCTATGAAAAAATAAACAGTAATGTACACAAATACAGGATGGTGTCTGGTGTAGATCTACGAAAAATTCACAAAGACTTTTATATAAAATATTCAGTAATGTACATGCTTAGAGGATGGTGCTGGATGTTGGAAATAGACAACAGTAGATATATGTGATATTATTAATCAGTATACTACATTGTACAAATGTATAAGCTGATATTATTAGAACACAACACATTGTTAGTTTGTCTGTTATGTCTGTTTCATGTGAACATGTATGTAAAAGATCTGAATTACTGGGTATTAGTTTTTGTTTTGTGTGATAAGCTGATAAAATTTATCTGTAAAAAATGAAACATCTATTAGAAATCTGCTTTTCAAGTGCAAAATCAACACAGGTTCTGTTTAAAAATACATTTGTAATGGTTTTTTCTTAGGAAAATATTGCGTAATTTTTATAATGCATGTATTTTGTATTTTGTGAATAGTTTTAATGTTTTGATATTTAAAGCAGAATCTCATTTACCTAAAAAAAGAAAAAAAACCCATAAAACTATCAAAATATATTATTTCAGAAATAAATCAGAAATGGTGCTAAAACAACCCAATTTACAATCTTCTGATGGGGAAAAATAAAGGAGAGCAAATTCTCTTTTTTTACTATCTGTGACATCTGCATCACTATCCTGTAATATTTAGATAGTTACATAATCAGAAAACTCTAGTCATTTCAAGTCATAATCTACATATAAGCACTTTGATACTACAGGTCACAATATTTATACCAGAAGATATTTATGTGGTATATATTTTATAAACAAGTTATATGTATATATAACCTTAAATAAACACATATTTGTGAGAATGAAATTTTTTAGCTAGCAGATTGTCTTGCAAATAAAAATGATTTACAGTGTCTTTTTTTGTATGACTTCTTTTATAAGCTTGTTCTGTTTAACTTATTTTAACATCAAAGGTGTAACAATTAGAAACATTTTTCAGAGAAAAGTTGTAAACATTACAATTTCATAGATACATGTTTAATTTGATCAACATATCCTTCAGTAATGACTCAAGTTCTTTTTTTGCCAGGATATAATTTTCCATAAACATAACATTTAGAAGCAGGATATTCATTGGGGATTGAGGAGCTGTGGAAAGCTTAGTCTCAGAATTATATTCCTTCAAACTCTCTTATAAAAGTTATTGATCAATACAAAAAAATCAAATAAAACAAAAAATGGTTGCTATGTGTCATGGTTTCCATGGCAACATACACTCAAATTTGAAAAAAGGCATTTTTGAACATGTCACTGTTCAGAGTCCCATGGTTTATGTTTGTTGTAATGATGACAAGTTACAATGACTGTTTCCAAAAGTTGAAAGCTTGATGTCTTTATTGCATGATGAACATGTTTGGAAATCGAGTTTACATACGTTACTATGAAAACAAAGTATTAAAAAGTAATAATTTTATTCATTTTTATAAAGTCGTTCACTCAAATGTTAAAGCAATTGTAGGTTTTAATGCAACCAAATGATAGAGAAAGGTCATTATAATATATTTCAAGGAAGAAAGTTGACATTTCTCATTGATTGACAATTGCTGCTATGATTTTTATACTGCAGAGGGATTTCAATAGACTTGCTCAAGTCTCTATGTTTTACTGCTCTTTTTCATACTTTTTGATAATTTCAAACATAGATGTTTGATATCATTTAACTATGGATGAGAGCAGAGGACAACAATACAACAAGAGGCCCACGGGTCTTATAGGTCACCTGAGTATTATGCAACAACTTTCCAACAATTGAATTTGGTTTCATGTTTTAAACCAGAGGCCATGAAATTCACAATTCTGAAAGAGGCACCACTGCTAATCATAACAATATATTTAGCATGCTTACTTTGATTACTTAATACCCAGAGGCAGATCAGAGGAACAAAGAAAAATGCATTTCCACTAAATAACCAGTAGTGCCCCACCCCACAGGAACCACTGACCCTGGGGCCACATATTTCACAATTTTCAAAAAGGCACCTTTGCTCATCATAAATGGTTGATTAAAACAGCAGATTTCAAAGCATTAATTCATTTCCAGTATATGATCATTGAGCTTCCCCCCCCCCCCCCATGGTACCCCTGACCAAGGGGCTATAAAATTCATCATTTTGGAAGAGGCACCATTCCTCATTATAACTATGTACTTAGATCATCAGCATAATTCCCAGGATCAGAGGAGAAGATTTTCAAAGAATTTATGCATTTTCACTATATAATCAATAGAGCTCTGCCCTAACACCAGAATTCCTGACCCAGGGGCCTTAAAATTCTTAATTCTTGAAGAAGCACCATTGCTCATCATAACTATGTAATTAGATCATTGGCATTATACCCAGGAGCAGAGGAGAAGATCTTCAAGATTTAATGCATTTTCACTATATATAATCATTAAAGCCCCACCCTAACACCAGAACCCCTGACCCAGGGGCCGTGAAATTCACAATTTTGGAAGAGGCACTATTCCTAATCATAACTATGTGCATAGTTCATTGGTTTAACACCCAGGAGCAGAGGAGAAGATTTTTAAAGAATTAATGCATTTTCACTATATAATCAATAGAGCCCCGCCTTAACACCAGAACCCCTGACCCTGGGGCTGTGAAATTCACAAATTTGGAAGAGGCACCCTTCCTCATCATTACTATGTACATAGTTTATCAGCTTAATACCCAGGAGCAGAGGAGAAGATTTTCAAAAATTAATGCATTTTTACTATATAATCATTAGAGCCCCACCCTAGCACCAGAACCCCTGACCCTGGGGCCATGAATTTCACAATTTTGGTAGAGGGCTCATTGCTTATTACAATCATGCCAACAGTTTGACTGCTTGATGTCCAGGAGTAAAGAAGAAGATTTTTAAAGATTGCACTAATTTAAGTGGTTTTGGCCCCACCCCTCAGGCCCCAGGGGGCAGGGACCATGAAATTCACAAATTTTGTTTCCCCTTCACCCATTGATGCCATATGCCAAAACTGGTTGAAATTGGTTGAGCGGTTTCAGAGAAGAAGCTGAAAATGTTCAAATGTTAACACACGACGGACGACGACGGACGAAAACAGATAGCAATAGGTCACCTGAGTGACTCAGGTGGCCTAAAAATGCATGATGTTACTTTTCCTTGAGCTTTCTAACTGCATATATATATATATATATATATATATATATATATATATATATATATATATATATATATATATATATATATATATATATATATATATATATATATGTATATATATATATATATATATAAAACAAACTATACATATACACTGCCTTGTAATTTGAAACCATATATTCAGTTATTGTGATGCTTTAGTTTTCCAGGAATTTCCTCAGGAACACAAGTGCTTAGATTAAAAAACAAGAGGCCCACGGGCCTTATAGGTCACCTGAGTAACGTGTAACAACTTTCCAACAATTGAATTTGGTTTGTATTTTAAACCAGAGGCCATATAATTCACAATTTTGAAAGAGGCACCACTGCTAATCATAACTATACAGTTAGCATGCTTACTTTGATTACTTAATACCCAGAGGCAGAGCAGAGGAACAAAAACAAGAGAAGTAGGAAGATCAGGATCAACAAAATAATTAGTCTAGTATTCACTATCAACTCAGAAATTGAGTTCTAATCTGTCCCCCACTTAACACTATCACCATGCAGACTATTAACAAACTATTAGTTCTTCTGTACTATTTTTAACCCATATTAAGACCTCTAGTATTGACCTCTCTTATGATCTTTAAAGAACTTTTAATAAGATAAGTTATTTTTGTCTCATTTTTATTTATCTATTACTTACAGGTCTACCTGATTATTAAAACTAAGAAAGTACTTTTTTAATTATACGATAAACATTCTTGCATAATTATTTTATTCTATTAACCTTTCAAATACATTATTTACAGTGATTAATTATCAAAGGTGAATGGAAAAGGGGAATAACTTCTCTCAATAGAATACAAATTAATAGAGCCCTGCCCAGGACCAGAATGCTTAGACGAATGGTCCAGATGTTTAAAAATCTGGTAGAAATACGCTTACTCATATCATTTAAACTTTTACTCAGTTTGCTTCCGATATGCCCAGAAGCAGAGAAGAATTTCACAGGTACAATGCATTTTCACTACAGATTCAACAAAGCCTTGCCCTAACACCAGAACCCAAGACCAAGAGTCAAGAAATTTACAAATTTGGAAGAGTTACCCTCATCATCATTACTATGGACTTCAAAGAATTAACACTTTTCCACTATATTATCAAAAGCCCCCCCCCCCGTCCCCTCGTTATGCCAGAACCCCTGACCCTAGGACCACAAGATTTAAAAATTCTGTTCGAAGCTCCCATTTTCATCATAGCTAAGCAATTTATTTATCAGCTCAACACTAAGGAGCCGACAGGATTAATTAATGATTAATTAATAGAATTAATGCTTTTTCACTATATAATCAATAGAGCCCCCCCCCCCCCCCTCAAGAACCCCAAAAACTGAGGCCATATATTTAAAAATTTTGGAAGAGGCATCCTTATCTATCATAATCATGCACTTAGTTTGTTTAAATAATCTCCAGTAGCAGAGAAGAAGATTTTCAAAGAATCATTGCATTTTCACTATATAATCAATAGAGCCCCGCCCTAACACCAGAACCCCTGACCCTGGGGCCATGAAATTCACAATTTTTGAAAAGGCATCCTTATGCATCATAACCATGCACTTAATTTGTTTAAATAATACCCAGGAGCAGAGAAGAAGATTTTCAAAGAATTAAAGCATTTTCACTATATAATCAATAGAGCCCCGCCCTAACACCAGAACCCCTGACCCAGGGGCCATGGCTTTCACAATTCTGGAAGAGGCCCACCTCCTCATCATAACTATGTACTTAGTTTATCACCTTAATGCCCAGGAGCAGAGGAGAAGATTTTCAAAGAATTAATGCATTTTCACTATATAGTCGATAGATCCCCGCCCTAACACCAGAACCCCTGACCCTGGGGCCATGAAATTCACAATTTTGGAAGAGGCACTCTTGCTCATCATAACTATGTACTTAGTTACTTTATTAAATATCCAGAAGCAGAGAAGAAGATTTTCAAAGAATTAATGCATTTTCACTATATAATCAATAGAGCCCCGCCCTAATACCAGAACCCCTGACCCCTGGGGCCATGAAATTCACAATTTTTGAAAAGGCACTCTTGTTCATCATAACTATGTACTTAGTTACTTTATTAAATATCCAGAAGCAGAGGAGAAGATTTTCAAAGAATTAATGCATTTTCACTATATAATCAATAGAGCCCCGCCCTAATACCAGAACCCCTGACCCTGGGGCCATGCAATTCACAATTTTTGAAAAGGCACTCTTGCTC